CACCGCAATACAAGCATAGCCCTTCCTCTATACATCGCTTTTTTTATTCTAGAGTTAGGGATTTGACATGTATCACGTCAATTTGCATGTCTTCCACCTTTGAATATGAATTCAAGCTGCTTGTTGACATAGTTGGAGCGTGGTGAGCCGTATGTTGTCTTAAGCATTAATCTTGGCGACGTTGGAATAGATGATTATCGTACTTCACAGCTTGGCTAATGGCTTCGTTAAGCGTTCGTGGATCGGAAAGAGATAATAAAAAATCCTTCATGTCGTTCCTCAAGCCCCAATAAAATTGTCTCATCAATGCTTCCTTGTTCCAATTGATGTCATACGCTAATTATCTGAAATCTAATGCGTAGATTAACGCAGAGCGTGCTCCTTGTCGTAGTGACCAGATTTTTGTTGTAGCCCATCATGCCTTGTCATGTTTGCTAAATGCTTCTACAAACGCCTCCAAAAAAGTTTCAAAGTTGTTCAAAATTGACGATCCTTTTTCAAACAAAGGAGTAAACCATGATAGAGCTTGCTCCGTGAGTAAAGTTCCAACTAGTCCAACACGTGACTCCTCCGTTGGATAGCGTTAGGGCTGCAAAGCTATTATCAATCTAATTTGATTGACAAAACCTCAAAACTTAGAACGCGTATCATCAAACTTATCTAAAAGACTAATTCGGGGCTCCTTTCGTTGTAAGACCAATGGTCTTTGTTGAACTAGAGGCAAAGTTGTTTTTCTTAGTGTTGAAGCTTAAGGCTGATGAATTCTCGATTGTGACATCTTGGATGCTCCATCATCATGAGGTCTTGCAATAATTCCTTCAATCTCTACAATTCTCTCTGATAACGTAGCAAGAGCATTCATAATGGCGTCCAACTTGGACTCTGAACTTTCAATCATACTAATATTTTGACCTCCGGCCATTTTAAGAGAAGAAAAGAAATGACTCTATAAGAAGGCAGTATTGGTTTAGAGGAGGGTACTCCGCAACCTCTAAAATGCCTTAAAACCTTCAAGAAGAGGGATAATCCACTCTCTCCAAGAAAGATAAGACTGCAATATTATAATAGAAGAAATATCAGTTTAGAGGAGGGTAATCTACAACATCTAAAATACCAGTACTTTCAAGCAGAGGGATAATCCACACTTTAACAAGAAAGAACTAGCTCTGATATGAAAGATGAGTGTAGTCTCGACAAACTGTCACGAATTTAGAATACTAACTGGAAATTTAAACAAGAAGTTGAAGAAGAATTGGGAAGAACTAGATTAATCTCTTGAGTACAAGAACAAAACTAGAGAGGTGAGCTAGAGCTCCAAGAGATGTATTGTCGAGACTGAGGATCCCCTCAATCTCGGCTCCTATATATACTACAAGCTAGATAGCTTCTCAAGTAGCTTCCACAAACTATGAAGCTTCTCAAACAGCTTCTATGAGTTAGGAAGCTTCTCAAGCAGCTTCTACAATCTATGAAGCTTCTCAAGCAACTTCGACGAACTAAGAAGCTTCTCTAGAACCTTCTAGAATCTTCTACAACTTCCTAGTATATGTCCTTCACACAAGCACAACTTTCTTTGACATCTCTTGTTTTTGCATCTTTTTGGCTAGCTAATCAGTCTTCCAACATTTACTCTCCCTATTTTGGCTATAGTTCTCACCATTTCCAAGATACACAATTGGGCCTAGAATTCATGCCTCACATAGCTTGCCTCTTACTTATTATTGATTGGCATGCTTGGAAGAGAATCCTTCATGGAGGATAATATCTCTAACATGTGCACTTATTTGGACGTTCGACGAAATTGCACGTGAGAATAGGTCTTCTCCCTTTCTCGAATCCAAGACTCCTGCAAAGAGCAGATTGGCGAAGACCCTCTCCCCCCAACTGCAATGCCTTCCGAGAGCACATTTTTGTGTAGATTCAGTTCATTTGCTTCAAAATTGTGAAGCCAGACAATAATGGAAGATCCAACCCCATGTTGAAAATGACGCCTATGGTTACCAACCCGATACTATGCCGATATTGCTATCCTCTAGCTTCAATTTCAGCCGTGTATGTAATAATAAAATCACTAAAATTAGAAGTCAAATTATGGAGTCTATAATAACAGTAGGAGTGAAGTTTGTGTGATCGATCAACTCGAGTCTCACAAGTTGATCATGTATAAATTCAATACACATGAAATAAATCGTTGCTCTTGTTTTTCCTTTAAAAATCCTACACCCCAACTACCAGGTCTTCGCCTTTCCCTAGAACTCCGTCCTAATCCACCACCCGCACAGCCTCAATAGCTTCATACATTAGTCTTAATACTGCAGTTATTTGACTCACGTTTTAAGGAGATGGCGGCCGCAAGTGTTGAGGTTGAGGAGGAAGCGAAGGAGGCCGAGATCGTGGCGGAGGCCGCAGAGCCAGAGGCCCCAGTTGCGGAGGCTGCAGTACCCGAGGCACCTGAGATAGCCGTGGCTGAGAACGTGGAGGACGAGGTTGCCCCCGAGGTGGTCGCTAAGGGGGCGGTCCATGCGGTCCATGCAATGCTGTTGGCCTGGAGCTTTCCCCTCGCTGTTTTTGAAGTGTGGCATTGAGGATGGTGGCGGCACGTTTTTGTAGAATCGAAGAATAATGTTGTGTTTTTTATGCATCTCTTGCAGGATCTGCAGTTGGGCACTGATACTGGGCTGGATCATGTCACTGGGCTAGGCAATTTTTCTCTTGTTGCTTCCCGATAATGCACCTATTCTGAGCCACTTCAGCTGAAATTCACCTTCTGCTCTCCTCTGTTTGCGTTATCGGTTTGTGCTTATTTTTGGGTGTGGTTGTTATGTCGCCTCGCTAAGGGATGTAAATAGGTGCGAATTACCTGAAGAAATGTTTACTTGATTTCCTGCAATGTGAGGTCTAATTCTGAGAGAGCGATGGATGTCAAAAAATTGTAAACACTATCAGAGAAGTGGAGTTTGTTGCACTTTCTTTTTTGCTTGTGATCGGGAGATATTTGCAGATGTTGAGTAATGAACTAATGTGCTGACTAAATCGTTTATTCTATATATATAATGTGCCGACAAATTTGTGCTCTCGCTCGTATCACATGTCTCCGAGTTTTTTTCCTTTTTTTCTTTTCTCTCCCCTCTGTTATTTATCTTTTCTTGCTTTATTTCTACATCGATTTCTCCTCTGCTGGCTATTAGTCTACATTTGTGGCACATACTTTGACTCGGACGAGTTGCAGGCACCGGGTGGGGTGGATTGGAACCATATCGGTTCATTTTTTCAGGAATCGGAAATGACCCAAGTTCTTGTATGTTTGTGCATAAACTATTCTGGTGGAGAATCCAGAAGTCCATTAAATAGACTCAAGATCTAAACATGCCCTTGGCAATACAATCATGGAATCTGAATTGGGTTCTGAGCGGTTGTAATGAAAATGCCCGCAGAATTTGGCAAATTCTGCGCAGATCCCCAGGCTGCGAAGTGATCAAGAATGTTATGAGGACAAGGAAACAGCAGATAGAATAATCACAGGAATATCTCTTCTAATACAGACATACATACATATATATACCATATTTTGTATAAAAAAGAAATGAAGATTTATTGTAAAAAGTGTTGTATGCAGTCCAGAAGTAATGAAAACCAAAAAGTAGTGATAATAAAACTAAATTAAATCAAAATAAAAAGGTAAAATGTGAAGATACAAAAAATAATATTATAATGTGATAAGAAATAAAGAATGCAAGAGTGAAGGACAGTTCTGATTTATCATATTGTTGAATTTATCTTATATAATAATAGAAGCTTAAACTGTTTTATTATGTTCTTGATAATAACTGCCATACCCAGTTCGGTTAAGTAGTAGGATTAAGGATTGTAATATATATATATATCTATATATATATATTAATTTATTGTAATTTGATATTAAATGAGTTTTATTTATGTTTATGCAAAAATTGTTTATATTTATATGCATGATTAGAATAAATAAATTTATAGAATTGTATTTGAATGGTAATTCCTTTCAAGTTCTAGTTTTATGTATTTGAAATAATTTTTCAAAAATAAAGTTAAAACTAGAAAATACATAGAAACTTGTCAGTTATCTCTATTCTATGTCAATTTTATTTTTAATTTTCTAAAAACTTCACATGGCTTCTTGCAAAGTTAAGCAATAACAATTGTATAAACAAATCACTTATCAAACACAAATGTGTTAAACATTTTTTACATGTCTAACATGCAATAATAAATTATTATATATAGCTTCTTTACATTACAAACATCATAAGACCTTTTATTCAACAAAAAAAAAAAAAAAAAAAAAAAAAAAAAATCCAATACAAACATGGTGATTAATAAACCACATTCTATACAAAAAAAAAAAAAAAAAAAAAAAAAATCTAAGCATCAAGCTTAAGATTTGACTTGTGCAATGGATCATTAAACAAACTGCACAACAAAAACTCAGTACAGAAATGTGACTAATCAGCTAAATTTTTATCTTTTAACATGCAAAAAATAACATATAGTATCTAAATTTGATAACAATAATGTCATATCAAACTTTATACATATTTTTTTAATTTAAATCTTGCTCAAATACTGATAGTAGCAAACCACGCTTACAACTACAATGCAACATTCAATGTTAGAAGGATGCTTGGAAATAACTACATAATTGATATATCAAATACCATGTCTGCATAGATACAATACTACCTTTGCACTTCCGTTCTCATATGCCAAGCCTTCCAAACCGCTTATAATTGAACGCCCTGACTTTAAAGTGAAAGACAGAAAATTCAAATAATTTAAGTAAAAACTAACACACACACACACCTACGTTTTCATTCATCCAAAGCACACTAGTGAACCAACAAAATCGATGAATGAAAAATAAAATGCAAACACCAGAAGCCTCGCACAGAATGCCAGCAGGGCAGTTGCCACATAGAATCGCGAGATCCAAGCGACAACCCGACTTTCGCAGCGTGTTCGAGCATTTCTTCAATTAGATTTTCCGTGAAATTTGGTCCAGTGATTGCATCTCTTCCGCTTCGAAATCCCAGTGTAACAGATATTTCTTCGGAGAGTCATACAACCTGGGTCACGGCTGGGGCTGTCTGCGCAGACATCACACTTGGATTGTCTGCGTAGGCATGCTAATTACAGATATTGTGTCCGGCGTCCGCATTCTTCTGTGCAGACATTCCATAATGTATTTATGGACTCTGCATTCAAAGATAGACCCAAATTAACGAGTGCATGCTCAGGCTCTTCTCGTGCAACAGCATTCGTGACCTGATTGATCATCAAGTAAGTTCCTGTGCAGTTTCGTCTCCATCTTCCCGTGTGTTAAGTTTTTGAGTAGTTTTGTATCTTTCCTCTGTTGCTCTTTCATCCCTGCTTGTGTGGTTTTCGCTCTACCTTTCTTTTGTAGTTTTCTCGCCTGTGCTTGTGTAGTTTTGTCTTTGAATTTCTTGTGTGGAATTTTCTTAGCTGTCCTTGTCTGGTTCACTTCAGCTTTTTTGTGTTATTCTTTTAACGGTGCTTGTGTGTATTTTCTTTACCTTTGCTGTGTGTGGTTGTGGTGAGTCTTAGTGCAGTGCCTTGCAAGGCAGAATTAATTCGTCACTACTCTTTTTACTGGGGCTTGACACCGAGTTGTGTCGTTGTGTAGATTCAATTCATTCGCTTCAGAATCCTGAATCCAGGTAACAATGGGAGATCCAACCAAAACTAGCAAGGCTTTTGGAGGTACAAGCCTCCGCCATACTCTTGGCCTCGTCCTCAGCCCCAGCAGTTCCAGACTACTCGGTTGCCTTGAATTCAAGCGGCTACAAACAGAAGAGGAGGGACGACTCCTAGCATTTGTGTATATTTGACTTTGTCTGTTCCTCCTTCATGAAGAGACGCAAGAATGGTGATAGGATTGGTATTGGCGGACACGTTGCATTAAACGATCTGGAAATAATTTTTTTGTAGAGAGAGGCCTCTGCTACGACGATCGAGCGAATGACGTTCATATGATTTTAGTCAATCCCTTCAATGTCACTATGTCGTGGCATACTGCTTCCGACACCTAGTTTCCATCAACTGGGAGAGCTTCGTAGTACCAATTTGGATAGTTAGGTACTGCTTATTCATTGTTTTTTTTTAAGATAATGAACTGAAATTGAATCGTGCATTCATTTACATCACATTTTTTTGCGTTTCTCCGCTTGCCATGTCTTGGTGTTTTTCCTTTGCTACGGGGTTAAGAATGTCACTATCACGAGGACAAGGAAAAAGCAAACAAAATATCACGGGAATCTCACCCAATCTCTAAACCCAAGTGTACTACACAAAAGCTTGAAGGTTCAAACGAGATGTGCAAAACGATGCAATACTAGTCACTCGACAGTCTTCACCTCTTGTAGCGTTTTCTGGTCGAGTATATGTTCATCTGATCCCCAACACAACTAACCTGCGGATTAGCACCTTAATATCAGTCCAGACGACATGAAAACTGAATGATTTAACGTTAATGAATTCACACCGCAGATGACAAGCGTGTCTCTTCACCCCCTCCTGTTAGCTGTCCCATGAAAAACTTGAGCAGCACTTTTGCCACGCGGGCTCAATGGCGGAGGTATCCCCTACTACGTCCATTGGGAGGTCCCGCGAAGCATATCGTCGAAGGTTGGTGCAGATGGGTGACTCTGCCTTCCTTCAGACATGGCGATCTCCAAGCAACAGTAATGGTTTCTCAGCGCGTTGCCAGCATTTCACTGTTCCAACTCCTCGGGCCTTCGATGAAACTTGACGCGATAAAAGATTTTTTTTTCCTTTCGCAAACCCAACCCAGCTGCGAAGAGCAAATTCGCAAAGACGCTCTCCGCCTCACTGCCATGCCTTCCGAGAGTGCCATCACCCCACCGAGGTCACGGATCTGGCTGTCTGCGTGGACATGATGCGCGGATATGATTCTGGGGTTGTGACGGTGTCTGCGCATACACGCTCATGGAAGATAATATCTATAGCGTGTGCCGTTACTCCGACGCCCAGCTGTGCTTCGGTCTGCATTCCTCCTTGCAGACATTCCATGATGTATATGAAAACACACTCGTCAATTCCGAGCTTGTGTCAACATTCCGTTGTATGTATTGTATATTCAGTCTCTTGTGTGCAACAGCGTCACTTAGCCGATTGATTATTAAGTGAGTTTTCTCTCCACCGTTGTTATGTGGTCGTGTTTCGGGGTTTTTGTTGGTTGTTTGGTTGGATGTGGTGATGTTTAGTGCAGCGCCTTCCATGGCAAGTCAAGTTCGTCGCTATTCCAATCACTGGGATTTGACACCGAGCTGTATTTTTGTGTAGTTTCAGTCCATTCGCTTCAGAATTGTGAAGCCAGGCAATGATGGAAGATCCAACCCCAACTACCAGGCCTTCACCTTTCCCCAGACCTGTGACATGGCCTCAGCCCCGTCCTCAGTCACCAACCGAGCAGCCTCAATAGTTTCAGACTGCGCAATCTCAGTGGCTTCAGGCAGCTGCAAACAGAAGAGGAGGGACGACTCCTAGCATTTGTATATATATATATATACACATACATATGACTTCGTTCACATGCAAAATGCAAACATGCTGATAGTATTCGCCGGCAGACACGTAACATCACACATTCCTGTACCATTTTTTTTCCTCGACAGAGGCCTTTGCAACGACGGTTGACGAAATGACGTTCGTTGCGTGTTCACAACATTTCCTAGTCGCCACTATTTTTATCACAATCTCGTAGAACATGGTTTTCAAGACCTTGCTCCAGATCAACTGGATGCGCTCAGCGATTCCAGTGTAACCGTCGCGTACTCATTATTCATTATTCTTTGTAAACAACTTTCTGTACACACCGCGCTTTTCGCTTGCATCGCATGTTTCAGTATCTTTCCTTTTTTTTCGTTTCTGTCTCCTGTTGTATGCTATTTTCTTACTTATCTCCTCTATTGGCTTTTAGTCTACATTTGTGGCACATGCTTTAGCTCGGACGAGTTGCAGACACCGGGTGGGGTGGATTGGGGTGATATCGGTCCATGCTTAGGGGGATCTGAAATGGCCGAAGTTCTTGTGTGCATACACAAACTGCTCTGGTGAAGAATGCATAGGTCGATTAAATAGAATGAAAATGTAAACATGCCTTCTGAAACCCAATCATGGGATATGAATTTGTGGTGAGAGGTTGTGATAAAAATACCCTCAGTAATTGGCAAATTCTGTGCACATCCCCAGATTGCTAAGTGGTAAAGAATGTTATTGTCACGAGAACAACGAAACAGCAGAGAGAACCATCACAAGAGCATCTCCTACTAACAAAACCTAGAATTACTGCGGAAAAGCTGCAAGGTTCAAACAGAGTATGCAAACCGCAGGCTCCAGGAATTGACGACATGATAACTGAATGAGTAGACGTCAAATACCCTGTCTCGTCACCGCCTTGTTTTGACAATCCCAATAAAAACTTGAGCAGCACTTTTGCCACATGGGCTCAACGGCTTAGGTGTCCCGTCCCACGTCCATCGGGAAGTCCGACGAAGCGTATCGTCGAAGCGTGCTGCAGAGGAGTGAGGCTTCCTGCTCTGGTGACTCTGCCTTCTTCCAGACATGGCGAGCTCCAGGCAACTACAAAGGATTCTCAGCGCGTTGCGAGCATCTCACCCTTCCACCCACTCAAATCTTCGATAAACTTGGTCGCGAAGGCAGATCTTTTCCTTGCCGAGACCCAATTGACGAAGACCCTCCAGACCTAACTGCCATGCCTTCCGAGATCCTCATCATCTAGTGGGGATCACCACTGCGGCTGTCTGAGCATACAGGATGCTGAGGTTGTGACGGTGTCGATGCAGACAAGCTCATGGAAGCTAATATCTTTAACGTGCGCTGTCATCTCTAACACCTAGCTGTCCATTAATATATGTTCTCCTCTGACCTCACTCCATGATGTGCATATGTAGACACTCGTTGTGGCAGATTTTATGCAGATCTATTTTATGTACATGGATATTCAGGTTCTTGTGTGCATCAACGTCATTGAGTCTATTGATCAACAAGTTTCCTCTGCACCGTTCATGTGTGCTTCTGCTTGGGGCTTTTGGTTGTTGCGTGGTTGGTTCTGGAGAGGTTTGTGGCAGTGCCTTCAAATGCAAGGCCTATTACTCACTATTCTTTTAGCTCAGGTTACAAGCACACTTCAAATTGTTATAAATACACCCATTATGTTTATATACACACCCAAGGTCTTTGATTGATTGTTTTAGACTCCCGTGTTCTTATCCATGCATGATTTTGGACCTCCTCTTGCCACAACAAAAAAATTCTAGTGGCAAAATTAGAAAGTCATAGAAGAAGTCTAGGATCCATGCCAAGCCAAGGAAGAGGGGGTCTAGAGCACTCAAATCAAAGGTCTTGGATGTGTGTATAGACATAATGGGTGTGTAAATAACAATTTGGGGTGTACTTGTAGCTTGAGCGAGTTTTTTAGCATGCAATAGAAGAGAATAGATTTTTACTTCCATGGAATATTGATAAAATGTCAAATAGAAGTTGAATCATTAGTTGTTTTTACTAAACATCATCTTTGATTTAAATATGATATATTTTTGTTTTGTCTTTATGGTTCATTTATATCTTTTTATTTCTTGGTTTATCATTAATTTTAGTTTTTTTTAAGATTTTGTTTGAAAAACTATTCTTTTATTTATTATTAGATTTTATTGTTTTTTTTTTGCTTTATAGATTGTTAGAAAGATTGTGATAATAAAAATAAAATAAAATAATACCATATTATTTTGATAATACCATGTAATTTTATAGTAGACATTATATCTACAAAAGTACATCAATTGGTTGAGGTATCTCATCTTAAGTTGTAATAAATTTAAAGTCGTTTTGTAACAAATAAATCCCAAGTTGCATCTAAAAATATAACTGATTTTGTAATTAAGAAGTATATAGAGTTTATTTTGAAAAGAAATTTATAAATAAGGAAGATTGCAGTAAAATGTTTGAATGTGATACAATTAGAAGAAAGATTTATGGATTTTAAAACCTTACTTTATGTTTTTTTTTTTTTACAAAGAATTAATACAAATTTTTTAATAAAAAACTTAAAATAAATTTAACATTCTAATGAATGCATAAGAAAATAATCATTGTGCAATAATAAATAAATAAATAAACAAACAATACTTACAAAAAAATCTTTTACAAAATATTGTTTTCATAGTTTAGAATAAAATATTAATGTAATATTTCTATTGTAATTTTTTTGTAAACAAATGATTATATATATATATATATATATATATATATATATACATATAATATTTTGTAGAATTACTATGGTTTTATAAAAAAGTGTTTCTATAAATATTTAATATATTTACAAAATGAGAAAGAAATATTATTAAATCGTTTCTTTAACATTAAATACTCATGGAAATATATGAATGAATATTTAATTAATCAATTAATTTTATTATAATTAATATTAATGATATTAATGATATTAATATGAAAGCTCTTCAAATTTGTTTTTAGAAAATTGTAAGTATGTTTTAGTGGAATTGATAATAAGATTTTATATATACTAAAATATCTCAATGTCTTAAAGTCTAATGGAATATCTTATTATAGTTGGAACTCAAAGTTAAATATCATATTATATTGTTAATAAATATTGCTCCACAGTAAGGCCTTTTATAATAGTTCTTGTTTAATTCCTACAAGACTTAGTAACTATGTTTGTGAAACAAGATTACTAACTAGAAACAACACAATCAAATTTAAATTTTCTCTATTACTATTTTTATTTTTATTGTCAAAATATATTTCTTTAGATTCCATTAGGTACAATTTTTTAAGGGATTTTCATACTCAATAACCATTGATAAACCTCATGACCAATCATTAAAAAAAAAATATAGTCTACATCTTTAAATTTTAATATTTATGCATAGCCAATCATTTGTATTTAAATCTTGATGTATCTAACTAAAGTACTTTAGAATTATTTGTCCAAATGACACCAAAAATAAAAATATCACTATTGATATAATATATTATAAAATTATAATAAATTCATAAATTCATAAATATAACTTGACACAAATAAGTAAAATTATTTTTTTTTAACATAAAATTTAACATTTAAAAATAACTATACCTATATTTGCATACATTTGTTTTTATTTTATTTTTGAACTCTTTGTAAAAAAATCATTATCTTTGGACTTATACATTATATATATATATATATATATATGTATATATATAGCTTTGAATTTATATATTATATTAGTTTTTTTAATGTAGTAAATTGTATAAGATCTTATTAAAATTCAAGATGGAGTTGGAAAAAAAAGAAAACCCTGAAATCTAAAATCTATTAATTTTAAAATTATTCTTTCTAATAGAGTGTCTGAATGTATACATATGTGAAAATATAAATATAAATATATATATGTATTCACGAATATTAGGCATGGCTAAAAGTGAGAGCCATGTAGTACACATACTAGTTGAATGGAAGCGTATCCCGCACCCGACGTGAGGCGAAGCCCAGCTTAGTCTCAATCCGTTTTTTAGGGTTTTGCTTTCGCACAAACTCTCTACAACACTGCGTTCGCTGCTGCAAGCAAGCCCTCCTGCGTGTTCGTCTCAGATCTTGCCCTGCTTCTTCTTAGGGTTTTTCTCTTCTTAGGTCGTGTATGTGATCTCTCGCAAGTATGGCGACGGCGGTGGGAGTGCGGCAGGAGGAGCGCTGGGGCGCTGGTGCTGAAGAAGATGGCGAGTATTCCCGCGAGGGGTACCGTGGCAAAGACCGCCGCGACGCGGACGATAGGTCTAGGAGGGCGGAGCATTATCGGGACAGACAGGAGCGGTCCAAGCGGGAGGAGTACTCTCGAGGTAGGGATCGGCGAGATGGCGAGGAGAGGTACTGGAGGAGTGGCGACGAGCGGTCTAGAAGAGAAGGGGAAGATAGACCGCGTTCTAGGAGGGACGATGAGGAGCGGCCGAGGAGAAACGGAGAGGAGTCGTATCGGGTAGATGAGGAGCGGAGGAGAGAGAGGGGAGATCGAGAGGAGAGAAGGCGGCGAGATGAGGAGGAGGAGTCGCTGGAGGAGGCGCCCAAGGTGGTGCCGGAGAAAGTTGCCGTTCCAGAGAAAGCATCTGGGCGCAGTGGTGGAGTGTATATTCCGCCCTTCAAATTGGCGCAGATGATGAAAGATGTCGACGACAAGAGCTCCGTGCAGTACCAGAGAATGACGTGGGATGCGTTGCGAAAGAGTATCAATGGTCTAGTTAACAAGGTTTGTTTCTTTGGTCGACTTTAGGGTTTGGTTGTATTAAGCTTGAAAGTTTCGCGTTTGAAAAATTGAGCGGTTGTTAAGCTGCGTGTGTGGTGTAGGGAATCGCCGAAGGTTGAAACATGTTTTAATTTCGTTAATCAGAGTGTCTGTTTATCATTTCTACTATTTCAACTGAAAACGGACGAAGAAGAGGAGTGAAATTGAATGGAGGCGGTGGAATCCTAAACTGGAATGCAAATAAGTATATAACGCTGATAGTTGCTTTCTATCGTAAACTTCTGCCCAGAAGTTTTATGTTCTGAGAAATGAAGCTGATTTCTGACTTCTTGGAGATTAATATGGTTCTTTTTGTCGATTTCTCCTGTATTTGCCCAGGTCAATGCATCAAACATAAAAAACATCATTCCGGAGCTTTTCGGTGAGAATCTGATAAGAGGAAGAGGGTTATTTGCAAGGTCATGCATGAAGTCCCAGATGGCTTCTCCCACTTTCACCCACATTTTTGCAGCTCTGGTCGCGGTGGTCAATACGAAGTTTCCGGAGCTAGGCGAGTTATTGCTAAAGAGGATCATCTTGCAACTAAAACGAGCTTTCAAGAGGAATGATAAACCAGTATTGCTAGCTGCCGCGAAATTCATTGCTCATCTTGTCAATCAGCAAGTCGCACATGAAATTCTAGCGCTTGAACTCCTTACCATACTTTTGGAAAAGCCCACAGATGACAGCGTTGAGGTGGCCGTCGGTTTCGTCAAGGAATGTGGATCCCTTCTTCAAGATGTTTCTCCTCAAGGGCTGCACGGTATCTTCGAGCGGTTTCGAGGAATCCTACACGAAGGAGAAATTGATAAGCGTGTTCAATTTATGATTGAAGGCCTTTTTGCAATTCGCAAGGCTCAATTCCAGGGTTTTCCGGCAGTGTTACCAGAGCTAGACCTTGTCGATCAAGAGGACCAGATTACACATGAGTTATCGCTTGATGATGAGTTAGACCAAGAGACGGGACTTGATATTTTCAAAGTTGATCCAGACTTTGTAGAAAACGAAAAGAAGTACGAAGCAGTGAAGAAGGAAATTTTGGGTGACGATTCAGCCGGTGAAGTTGAAGATGGGGATAAAGAGTCTGGTGATGAGGATGATGAGGATGAATCCGATGAGGAAGACGAAGAAGACAGGGAGGCATGCATGATTATCCAGGATGAAACGGAGACAAATCTTGTGAACTTGCGGCGTACTATTTATCTTACTATTATGTCTAGTGTGGACTTTGAGGAGGCTGGGCACAAGCTTCTTAAAATTAAGTTGGAACCTGGACAAGAGATGGAGCTGTGCGTTATGCTTTTGGAGTGTTGCAGTCAAGAAAGGACATATCTGCGATATTACGGTCTCCTTGGGCAACGGTTCTGCATGATCAATCGCGTTTATCAAGAGAAGTTTGATATCTGTTTTGTGAATCAGTACTCAATGATTCATCGCCTGGAAACAAACAAGCTTCGCAATGTTGCGAAGTTCTTTGCTCATTTGTTGGGCACGGATGCGCTTCCTTGGCAAGCCCTGGCCTATATCCGACTCACAGAGGAGGATACAACTTCTTCATCTCGTATTTTTATCAAGATTCTTTTCCAAGAGCTTTCAGAACACTTGGGACTGCGGAAACTGAACGAACGTCTGAGCGATCCCTCGATGCAAGAATCTTTTGATGGAATCTTTCCAAAAGATAATCCAAAGAACACGCGTTTCGCCATCAACTTCTTCACTTCCATTGGTTTGGGTGGTCTTACAGACAACCTGCGTGAGTACCTAAAGAACATGCCACGCATGATCATGAATCAACACGTACCCGTTCCAAGCGAGAGTGATGACTCAGATGCAGACTCGGACACTTCAGGGGGCGGCAGTTCCTCAGCCAGCAGTGTTTCAGATTCGAGTAGCGACAGTGAAAGTGACAGTGAGAGTGACAGCGCTAGTGACAGCAGTCCAGAGAAGCCACGGAAAAAGAGAAGAACGTGAGGTTTGTCTGTAAATCTTGCACTGTATTTGTGTTGTAGATATCTTCATCGATTTGCTGCTTTCGTTAGGTTTCTGGTTTCAATAGGATGAGATGAAAATCAGTTACGAGTTCAATTATACTTCAAAAACTTGGTTTTTTACGGGGAAGAATTCTTTCAGTTTTTTCCCAGACAGTTGGTGAGCATGGAATTTATGCATCAGTGAAGAACCCTGCAATTTTGCTTATTGAAAAATCGTGGTGGGATACCTAAAACCTGTCACAAAGTGATGCTTGCACGGGTATCAACTTGACTAATTATTGATAGTTTTGCTTGAATGTAACTCAATGTCTTCTGTGTCTCAACCGAAGGTTGTAAGAGCAACGCCAGCTGTCCACTTAAATCACATTATCCAGTTGATTATTTTGCCTGTTAACTTCGCCTTGAAAGCTGAATATAATTTCAATTTCTACGCACTTCTAGCACCTATGAACGCCTTCTCTATACATTTGATTCATAAGAAATATAATTATTCTCTTCAGCAAATATTTTTAGTAAACAAAAGCGAAAAAACTAAACATACATGTGATTATTAAATAATGATATTGGATTTTATTTCTGATTTTTGAAGATTTATGCAATATTGTCTGTTTGAAAATATAATCTGATGAATCCACTAATTTCAGACAAAATATTGTAATACTTTTGAAAAGTAATGAATGGTAAGAAATCTGTTGATAGGATGCAACACGATGTTATAAATACGTAAATTCTATAATCAAATGTACTGTTTCTAATTTTATATCTATTGCTTTTAACACATCATAAAATTTTGCTTGTGCTTTATTCAAAACAAATTATTTGGAAGATTTTTACAGTATCAGTCCTTTATTGGACACAAAACAATCAACCAACGTATAGATATAGATCTAAAAACTTTTAGATGAAACTAATAGATAAGATAATAAATTGTGAAGTTAATTGGTGATGAGAGCTCCAATTTGGGCATAAAACACAGTAGATGTACAACATGACAAGGATTAATACAAAGCCAATGTACATTGAAACCATCCGATATCACTTCCATATAAGTCAGCAAGATTTCCCATTAAACTCAAATTGCTAAGATACGCACATATGGAATAATTAGCCAAGTATTGAGCAATGAAGAATGTGAAACGCAGATAGCGGTCGAGAGATATAGCGCACACAAATTCCTTGAAAGCAAATTTGAAACCAGAAATATTTGGAAAAAAATGTTTTTACTGGAATCTTGATGTGCAGTTTAGCGAACTTGGACAAATGTATCTCGAGCTTCACCAACTTTCAACACTGAGAAGCCATGAAAGGATGCTTAAGACGGAGTGTCAGAGACAAAGACCGCACCTGGTTTAGATCCAGATGGTCAAGCATCGTCAATAATCCACATTCCTCCTGACAGCAAGAACACCACCCATTACAAATTCATGCGTATTGAACGGAACCAGCTCTACACAACTTGCTCATATGAGAGGGACAGGTGGTAAATCATCAGAACCAATCACCGCTCACAGTTGTGGTGGAATCCCAGCCTTCGTTACGTGCCATCACGCATGTCTACCCACGAACCAACATGCAAACATCAACCAATCTACTGTGAATATTCAAACAAAATCTCTTCGAACTGGATTATCTCGGTTGTACCTTTCAAAATCTACAAAAAATTATCCTTAAATAGAAACGACATGACATAAAAGCTGGAATCCATCATCCGCCTCAAGAAACGACATGACATAAAATACATCACGTCAAGGAGTTAATTACAGCCTGTGGAATCAAAACTCAGATTGCTTCCAAGCTTATCTGTAAACACTTCATGAGACGTATAGAGGTAGAACGTAAACAGTTTCTTAGTGTTCTTCACATAATAGAGGGCACCGTCACAAAGTTTCAAGAACTAAACTGATATGTATTGTTGACATAAAAGATGATAAAATCAAGTGTGGATGTCCTAATTCATGTTGAGTAGACTTGGATTAAATAGAAACAGATGGGCACCTATCCGCTATGTGCCGTCCTCACCGTCTGATGCACGCATGTCCACCAGCCAACCACACACTCGTGAGATTCAAGCTATCTACACTCTTCCCATTTTCAACTCATTCTCATCCAAACCTGATTAAACCTCTCATGAAAGATGAGATACAAGAGGCTCTTGGGTAGTTCCATCAGTAACACTTTCTACTTTGCACATACATACACACAATCGATTTTCTAGTGAATAAATAAGTTGTCTTCATCGCGTACGACTGAGAGTGAGAAATCCAGAAAGATAGAAAGAAAAGACCTGAAAAGTTGACCAGATGATAATGACTCAAGTATACAAATAAAAATCTCGTCAATCCTTTACTAATGAATATAGACTTGTCATTGAAAATCAGAAAGGACTCTGAAGACGTCATTCGAGGTTCTTGACTTACGATCTCTGAAAGACTACTTCGGTTATTCGATTAATACGAAAAGTTGGTTATACAAAAGGTAGTGTAATCTTAACTAATTGAAACAAAAACTGCCAAGTACTCAAATAGTGAAAGGGCCTCCACAATTAATGCATGGTATCTAAATTGGGCGCCTCACTACACAGCCACGAGCAGAATGAGGCTACCCGAATATATGGCAAGTTCTTGACTTACCGTATGCGTATCTACAAGATATATAGAGGAATTACCCATTTAATTTTAAAAGAAGAACGTTTAATGAGATTCATTAAATCTGGCGAAAAAAACTCAATGCAAGGAGGGTATCAGGAACACATTAAAGTCTGCTTCCAAAAAGGACATAACTTAGGCGCAAGTTCTCATATGTTCTTAAAGTTTGTGTTGCATTCTAAAGAGTAAGGCTGGACCCGGAACCCCTCCAAATAAACTACGGGAAGTCAAAAAGCTTACTATCAGAGAGTGCATGGATAGTTTTACAACACAATAAGGCTTGTAACAGACTCTTAAGTAATTCCTTGCCGTAAACAATGGCATCAACGTTGGTGAGAATACCATCAGGAAATATCCATGTGCGTACCCTGGAGGAGGGCGCCAGCTGAGATGCGGAGTTGAGAAACCATTCGCGCTGAGGCTGTTGCATTGTGCAAGGGCAGCAGAGATTGTATACATGCCACTTCTCCCGGTAGCCTATCAGCCAACGACGCCAAGAAATACGACCACAGTAAGTGTTAGAAGAGAACAGTCATAGTCAACGAAAACTTGCATGATTTCGAGTCGCCTTCTATAATTCATCACACCTGGCAGTATCTAGTGCTATCAGGAACCAGACTTCTCACAGAAGAAAACTACGCCTGCAAGTGCAACCAAGCTACAATGTCGATATAAACAAGACAAGAAGTGTTAAGAGCAAATTAAAAATTAGGTCTAGATGGACCGAAACATCAAATCGCATTTCACTTCCTTAGCGCAATGAAAACGATATATCCCACACACGATGGGTCTTCGCAAATAGAGTCCCAAAAGCAAGAGACCCAAGCTGCACAGCAAATATAATAAAAACCTACACAGCCATATGAGCATACCTAGTAAAGAAAGCCCCGGGTCTGCGAGACTCCATGAAAAAGGACTTGGGCGACGTGGAGCTCGGGGCTGCAGCAGATCGAGGCGCGGCAGCTCCTCCTTTGGCTGATGCACCGATTTCAGCACCAGCACTGGCGGTCTTGTTGCCACAAGAACGCACCACCGCTCTTGCGCTAGACAAGAAGGACCTGGCCATGTGCCGACTCGCACAAGCCATAGCTTCTCACCTTCAATTCCTCCAACGCTCCGATTACGACTTACAATGTGAAATGGGCACTCAGGTTTCACAATCAACTGTCGAACATAAACCCTTCCTCAGAGACCCTGAAATGGTTGATCAGCGAAGGGCTTGAACTAGGGCTTTAGGACCCCTGCTGCAGAACACCCTGAAAATTGGGTGGTAAGTGTCATTAGTGGTAATTGTCGCGGTGAATAACAATTAATTAGGGAGATCAAGTATCACACGTGTACTTTCCAACTGGGTCCTACACTGGAGAAGTTGATGTGGGCCTTCGGTGCTGATCTGATAAACCCTGTTTAGGGTTTGCTATTCGACTTCCGTTTTTCGAAGACCCTTCATTCGAGTCCCGTCAGCTCAACTCTCAATCAGTGGGGTCGTCTCTACGGTGCTGTTTTTCAGGTTGTCCTACCTCGATCTCTTCATTTTTAGCTTCAATTGATGGTTTTATTTACGATTTCGTTTCGATTTTTGGAGTTTGTTTGAGGTGGGTAATGAGTAACTTTGCAGCAAGTGAGGAGACTCTTTCGTTAGGTGATCTTCGCGTTTGGTACTTTACAGTTTTATTTATTGTGTGTTAGGATGATATATTATGGTTACTGTTGGTCTGTGTTAGTAGTTCGTATTAAAATGTTGAGTTTCAAGGCGATCGAAATTGGTGAATTTGTTACAAGGCATATTGCTCTAGGGTTTCTTTGCTGCCCTTTGTGCGATTTGATTGTGAATCGTTTTTTTTTAAAGTTTTGGTTACGAATTTGTTTCCTGGCTCAAACTCCATAACATTTCTAGTCCAATATTGAACCTCCGGCTGTGGTCGGCCACTTAAATTTTTGGTAATCTCTGATTGTTGTGAAGGATTGTGAAAGGCATCCCAATCTTGAAGAGAATATCTCAATATGCAGGCTGTGCGGGCTGCTGTGCTGAAGCGCATGCGAGTGGGAGTGAGTGCACCATGGATGCAAGCTCCCATCTTCACTAATGGCCCCCGTCTATTTTCCACCGAGGCTCATGGAACATACTTGGACAAGCACGTCGTCACCGACCGCGTCTTGAGCGTTGTCAAGAAAATGAACAAAGTTGACAGCGCCAAGGTAATGCCCTAATTACATCGTACATTTCCTCCTCAGAGCTGGAACTGGTAATCGGTGGTACTTGCCACTAAATCGTAATAGTCACGAAAAGCCCACCGTTCCAATCGGTTTACGGGAGATGCGTCTGAATTGATTTACAGGATGTTCTAAAGGGTTTTGTAAGCTTCGACGACATGGATGTTTTCTAAGTTTCGTGTTTCGTTTCTACTCTTTGTGAACAAACGGCTACAAACATGTTGACGTTACATATTCTAACAGATTTCAAAAATAAATTAAATCCAACCTATTACATCCATTAGGTTTAAGGATTTTCTTGCGCCGGAGATGCATGGTGAGATTGATCTTGAAGTAACTGTTGAAGGAACTCGTGAATAGTGCGTAGTACGCATGGTATGTGATTACTGCAGCCATATAAAATCTTTTATTTTCCATGCAAACACAAGATCTATTGTTGGATCACTGATACAACGATGTGTAAAAATTGTCTCTGATGTTAACTACATCCAAGTGCAATTTCTTGTATATCTGCTACAGAAAACTAAAGAGTTTCTCGTATACATGCAACAGGTGACTCCAAATGCGCACTTCCAAAACGACATGGGACTCGACAGTTTGGACACGGTGGAGGTCGTCATGGGCTTCGAGGAAGAGTTTGCCATTGAGATTCCTGACGCTGACGCCGACAAGATTTTTTCCTGTGCTGACGCCATTGAGTACATTGCCTCTCAACCCCGAGCGAAGTAGATTGATAGCTCTAGTTTCGTCCATGTAGCTCCTGTATGGCAGTGCAATTCCTGGGTATCCTCCCATCGAGTGGGCCAATTTTATTATCTCCCATTTAAAAAAAAATTACATGCTCAATTTTTTCTCTCAATAGTCATAAAACCCTCTACTTCTGACTGGTTACAAATGCAGACTCTGCCATTTTTACGACTGGGGCCATGATCACTGAGTATAGAATAATGAGTGCTGCAATTCGCCCTGAACTTCGATTATTTTGACTTGCTGGATTGAATCCTGACTCCTTGTGCGCGCGCACACACCCGTCATGAGTTCCCCAACTTTGCAGAACCTCTCGTGCTGTCAATATTTATTTCTTTTCATCAAAAACAACTTGTCTGGATCTCACTGAGTACCTGCTTGAGAGCATCCTCACAAACTCCCCCTTTCCTCTGCAGACACCTTTGTGGGACTTCCTCGACCTTTGAAAGGATTGCTCTTGCAGAGGGAGGACAAAGTCCCTGTCAACCTAATTAGGGAATCTATGAACTAGTTTTGTACCCTTTTTACGTTGCAGCTTGATGGCAAGAGGATCGGTGGTTTCCACCTGCAACAAATATAACGGGATCTGGTGTTAAGAATCGTGAGACACTTCACAAGACCAGGTCCAATACATGCTGCAGCCCAAACTTTTTGGTTGTGCGTGGGAATTTAACGTGAGCTCCTAATCCAGTGTGGACGTGATCTGCAGTTACGCCCTACCTACAAAATCTGTTTTTTCATAACCCCGTTGGCACCACGAGATATGAAGCTGTCTGGGTGCGGTCATTGAATGCTCTGCGCAAATCGGATCCTGCCTCAGAGCTGCCCGACCTTCGCAAGGTCAGCCTTCACCAGCACAACAAATCAGGATCCTTTTTGCCGTACCCTCTCCCTTCGGGCTCTTGAATGCCTACGACAAATAGGCCCCATCTTCTGCCAGGTCTGCGAATACGACAGACCACAACAATGCTGCTGCCCACGATTCTGAGCTCCACAACCACCTACAAGAATCTAAAGCCCCTCGTCCTCCTCCTTGTGCCCCACACCTAAAGAAACTCTGCGGAAAGGTGGCACTCAGAAAACTTCAGAAGGACAAGAAAGAAAAAACAGAAATGGAAAACCGCTGGAATGAAGGACATCCAAGCCCCTTATCGTAGCCAACTGTACAACTTTCTGCATGAAAAACTGGACATTCCAAACAGTGGAAAGAAGACAGACGAGAAAGAGATCGAGCGAGCGAAAGAGAAGCCAACAGGCTCATCTGGATGACTCCGAATCTGTCAGAAGGAGGTCCACGCTGTTGTCTGTTGGTGCTTCTTCACTTAGGCTTTTGGTGGCATCGCCTTTCCACTGAAAGCATGACTTCTGTAGCGAGTAAATCTAAGAAACCGGATGCATGGGTCCTTAAAACAACGAAAAATTTACAGTTTGAAGATTCAACCTTAACCGAACACATTCTGCGAGGATTCCCAAAATGACAGAATTCGATCCGATTTGAGTTTCAGAAACACGATTCAAGGTGGGTATTCATGGCTGCTTTACTTCACTAACTTCAGAGTTTCCCCCCTCCACCAATGGCGAGGAAGTTTTGCAGACTTTTTGACAGGTGGAAGTCCGATTGGAAGTGGAAGAGCCTCACATGTTACTCACCCGAGACAACCCAAAAGCTTGTCTGGCAGAAAGTGGGACTCTCGAGAAAAGACAAAGACAAACAATCACCACCTCCCACCTCCCACCTCTCACCTCCACCACCACCGATTTTGCTTCCCCCATTGATGTCAGTTTGGCTTTTTATACATACAGTCCACACCTTTGGACTCCCTCCTCCGGAAACCCTAATTCCACCCCTCCTGTGTGAATAAACATAGAACTCCACGACACAAACAACCCTAACTCACGGAGCTTCATTCTCACACGCTAAACATGGTTTTTCACACAATCATGCATCTGGTTTTCTGTTTTCTTCTGCTTCTTCTTCTTCTTCTTCTTCTTCCTTCCACTTCCTCTACTTCTGTCTTTCTCTACTTTGTGTATGTTTATCTCTTGTTCTTTTTCTCTTTTCCTTTCCACCTACTTCATTATTGAAATCTAAGTCAGAAGCAACAGAGCCGAAAAGAGCCAGATGTGGCAGGAGTGGACAGAGGCGGTAATGGGATCATTCGCGGAAGTGGGTGCAGAATGGACGCCTCTGCACGGGCACAGGGGCCGACAAACTACCAGACAGTGCCTCCTCAGACCCGGCCCGCTACCGCTGTTCCCTCCCACCCCCTTCCGCACTGCCCGGCCCGGCTCACCCCAGGGCTGAAACCAGGTTCCGATATCCACGGGCCAAAACGGGCACTGCTTGGAAGGAGAAAAAATAAAGCAAAAGCAAAAGCAAAAGGAGGTAGTGTCCTTTTGATTATTGTCATTTCTACATTAAAGTATTCCAAGTTGAAGCTAGAATCAGGTATTATGATTTATAGTGTTTTCTAATTTAGGAGAGGAAAGGAACTGATAGTGTGGTATCTTTTATTCGTCTTTATTTTCTATGATTTAGTATTCTAAGTTATTCATGTGTGAATTGTGATGAAATAACGGTGGTTGCTATTGAGGCTTTTTCAGTGCTCTTGTTAAAAGATTAATAAAATAAAAAGAATTTAAAAAATTAGGTGTGTCTGTGCAATGAATAAAGGGGGAACAATGTATGGAATCTCACATGGCAACTATGTGATAAGAGAGAAATGATATTGCTCCCCTGCGTAATTTTGAATGTTACATTGAGATAGCGATTCACGAGGCTGTTCCCCGACAAAAAGTATCTTGCATAAATTTCCATAAATAAAATATATAATAAATAAATAAACGAGTACTTGAAATAAAATCTTTGACAATCTTGAAATTGTGACCCATCCTTCTCCACATACATGGCCCATGTCCCCCCCCCCCCTGGCATCGTTAGTTTGTCCTCAGCTTCACAAACATTAAAATCAAAAACAAAAGGTGTAAAGTATCCCTTTTATTCTCCCCTGCCTCTTTCGTTCCCAACCTTAGAGAAGACGTAATCATCCAAAATTCATTAACGATGGGAACATCCATCTACGGTTATCATCCGTAGTCAATTACTGTAGAAAGGGGGCTCTTAAAATTAGGGGCCCATTCGAAACCTGCTGCTGAGCTGTCACTGGCATCCTCACTGGAAGCTTCACCACTCTGGAATCAAATCACGGGCCAGGCAAGGCTGGGTAGCGGGTCAAAGGGGGGGTGGGGGGGGGTGAGAGGCAAAAGGATGACCAAAAGGACAAAGGAAGTGGCAGGCAGAGTGAGGAGCACGGGGGTGGGTGGTTGATGACGCCTCATCACGGGTGTGACCCCACCCAGCCCTGTCCGGTCCAGCTCAGCCCGGATCAGCCGACGTGTCAAATGGAACCATCCCTGGTGATCTACTCATCATACACCACGTGGCTGCAGCGTCAGCTCCCTCTGACCCCTCCCATAAGGTCCCATCCAATTCGGTTTCCGTAAGGGGGCACTTTGTTTTATCCAGGATGTATTCCCACAGCTCTTTACTATACTGGATAGTATTATTATAATTATTTTTCAATTCAAACTCTTGTCCAATAAAGGGCGAGAATCAATCCTTTTTTTTTTCCTGCTCCAGCCCATGCATGCAGGAATCCCAGTAAATAAATCTGCTAAAAGCCCTAGACAAAGTCGGAAAGATCATTGACGACATCAGTTTGTTGTTGTTTTTCATATCCTTAATTTATCATTGATTAAAATAAACTTTCATGTATAGGTTTAGCTTGATTAATTTTTTATTTCTCCGGTTATATTCATAGGGGAATGATAAAACGACTCAAATTTTTGCTAAACCACCCACATGTTTAAACCATCATTGTGTCCTTTCAACCCAGTCCGATCCTAGCCGATCCCCACCCTCGTCCTTGGCAATGGTTGGGAACAGGGAACAACTGGGAACAGGGATGGGGGCTGAGGGATGCAATGATGATTTAGAGTGGATCGCTTTAGCATTCTCCTATTGATATGTTCATAATTCGTGTGTGTATATATATAGACGCACATTCATAATGGTGCGCAACAACAAACACAAAAGCCGGTGGTAGAATCCAAATGGTGCTCGACTTTCCGGAATCCTGCTGGGAATATTTCCCTTGTCGGGAATACCTTTCCCCAGCGAGGAAGTTGCCTTGCGCCTGCGGATTGGCCCAAGCTCTTGAATGCACATGATCGCGAGTGGGTGGGATGACGTGGCAGGGCGCTTCTTCTCCGTCGTTTCCTTCCTCTGTCGTACTTACTATCATTCATCCCATATATGCACATCCATTCTCTTATTCATTCATTCATCCGTTGTGTGGGGGGGGTGTCCCATGCATGGCACAGAACACAGCATGGGGTCAGTCACTCAGTCTGTCTGTCTGTCTTCATGGACACATCCAAAAATTAATATTTCATATTTAATATTTATTGCACATGAGTGTGAGATAGAGAGCAAGCAAGTTGGCAAAACCCAATTTGTGTGGCACTTGGCCAATACAATACATCACATCACATCACATCAACAATTTTGTAAGAATAATTTCATGATAGTGACTCTAGTGGTGCAATAAAAAGTGGCAACGTGAGATGTATGGTGTGACACATTTCACAACTTAGAAGAAGAGTAATGAAATTTATTAGTGTTGTTGTTGTTGTGTAATTTGTGAATTGTTACTTTTTGCAAATCTGTGCAGTCTGGAGGGGTTGTTGAAATAAATGAACTAATGGAAGGAGTAACTAGATTTTTATTTTTTGTATTTTTTTAATAAAGGACGAGAATGAGAATGCATGTATTGGAAACTTCAACAGAAGTGTTTATGATGTGGTATGACCCATTTTCTAATGTTGAATGTTATTTTTTACTTTTGGAATGTTTGGTGTAATTCAATTTGTCATCACCACTTTAGACTAATTCGTCTCATGAGATTTTTGTTGTTACTAATTTTATGTCTTATAAAAGATTTAACATGTTTTAACACTTACTAATAAAAAAATGATCTACAAATTTAGAAAGTCTTGTCATGTATTTGGATAGCATTCTGAACTAGAAGAAATGTTTTCTTTGCCCAGTCTCTAATCATTAATGTAAGTAGATGCAAAACTTAGCATGCTCATCAATATAAGGGACTTAAAATAATTATTTATCATGTCAATATTCCTTGAAGCTTGTCCAAGCTAAGTCAACAACCAACCTCATTTTCTCCTCTATTTGTGCAGGTCCACTATCGAATGATATGGTCTTTTAAACAACAATACCCACAATTTACTTCCTTTCTTCCCCCTCCTCTGTCATCAACTTTTTCATACATTAAAATAGTTACCAATTTTTAAAACAGTAAAATCTTCAGTATTCTGGCTTTTCAAAAATCTATGAAATTGTTTGGCATACATACTCCTGTTAGTATTTTAAAAAAAGAGAAAGGTTCAATTTGTTACCGAGAATTCGTTCAATCAGTTATCGTTCTTCGTCAATAAAAAAGCAGTAACAATATTGATGCTATTTCATTTTTCTTTTGTTTAATTGGGCTCAATGATAACCAGACCTACGAATCTAAATGAAGACTTTGGAAAGGGACATTCGAAGCATTGAAAGTGTATAAACTGGTATGGATGACAAAAATGAACTTGTTTACGTTGCAAGGTAGCTTTGGATGTTGATTGACACATATTTTACAAGGCCCTTTGATATGTCATTTAAGTAATCAGATTCATTAATCACATGATTGAATGATGTCGGACTCATAAACTTGTGCATACATTCATGGTTTATAGGTAATAAACTATCTACAGTAGATGGAAAAAAGAAAAAAAGAAAGAAAAAAAGAAAAAAAGAGAAAAGAAGATAAATAAGAATATTTAACCTGGATGGTCATTAGGAAATATTGTACAACCGACATACAAAATGGTTCTACAGTAACCATATTCCTATTCCAGACAACATTTTGGACGCACCCAAGTAAGAGTCTACGTCCATGTGAACGCGTCTCATGATTCAGAGACCAGGTTATTCTGAACAATTACAATAATTTGCTTCTATACCAACGTGTAATAGACCGAATTAGTTGCCAAGTACTGCACAAGTTGGAGCACATGGAACGTGTCCTCATAGTATTAGACCGTTTCCCAATAACCACTAATGCATCACTCGAGGTGTGTGCATGCCAATGATAAGTCCCTCTTAGGTTTTACGGGAGAATCCCCTCAATTTCAACTTATAAGGTTTTCAATTCGTTGATCAGTAAATATAGGGGATCCTCTACCAACTAGATGAAACTACTGGGTTCATTACAGTAGCAAATGGTACCCAAAAGGTTGAATCGCTGAAGACCTTGTACAAACTAAACATGGCCACGAAGAAAAGTTCAATCGAGTCGGGTAATGGTCGAATTCTTGCAGAAAAGCTTGAAAGAACTCTTCATAGCTGGATATAGAGTTTACTCGATGATAATAAGGAATAGCTGGAAGAGTGAAAAAAAATTGGTCCCAGCTTGACATGTGCATGGGAGTGCCAAGTCTCGAAAACGAAACGTCGACTAGGTTTATCATGGCCATGTGCTCACCCTGCTCTCTGCCTACAAGCACATATCTCGCCCTGTCCGGCAAGCTGCACCCCACCGCTATCATGGTCCCTCGCAGTACAATCATGGTCCTCGCGTCATGTGGTTGGGCAAGTGCTGCGCTGGATGCCCATCCTACCACCACCCACCACCAACCCCTCGCCCCGTCTGCTTCTTACGCCACAAAAACTACAGACTTAGACGCTTCCTCAGGTTGGTTGCTAAGAGACTCGAGCTGCCACAGTTTTTTGCGTCAACCAGACAACAAACTATAGTGCAGCAAAGACTTAATTACAAAACCGAAAATGCTAAACTACAGCACTAACGAAGCCACGTCGACTGCTAGCTTAAGAAGCAATGCAACGCACTGCCCAGGCTGAAAAAAATGACAATAAAATGAGAAACAACAAAATACAGTACGTGCCGCACTGTAAGAGATATCTGTGCAGCCAGATTCTAAACGTAAAATGTCGTTCTCCACCTGTTACTTACTACCACCTTCTTGTACCGACCATGAGTCAAAACTCGTGATGTAAGGAAAAAAGGCCAGCTTCCCAGCAGCATAATTATGTAAGGCTCCACCCTGACAACGGTCACCGGCAAGTCTCCTTCGCCCTTCTTCTTTGGCGAGTGCCGGTTCATGAAAAATGATGCATCCAATATAACGTTTCACGCTCTATGGGGTGCTGATAGCTCGACTGCAACGAGCGACGAGGCGATTACACACGTGTCATATCCTTCAAGCTCTCATACGACACGCATCCGCTTCTCATCAACCCACAGCACCTTGGGCTTTCATGGAATCTGGATTCTTGGGGGCTGCACTTCCCACATTACAACAATTAACCTCTGAAGCCATCCTGGATTCTTCAGAACTTCAATCATTTTACAAGAAACCGCAGAACAACCCACTCTCCATATTCAGCACCATGAGGCATGCCCCATAGGTCATGAGCTGCACTCCCCCCTATTCTCGATATACCGTAGGATTGAACATAGGTCAATGTATGGTCGACGACCAACTGCAACAGAATGGCGCATGTATCAACCTCAACACATCCAGCTTATTCCAAGTGATCATCAGGATTGCAACACCCACCTAAGTTGACCTGCTCAGAACCTTTCATGATTCGGAGTCTCTTCACAGCATCGATGAACCAGCTGCAAAGACATGACAAATGTCAGCCACTTTGACTCCACAGCACTTCATGTGGAAAAGATCAGCAATCATATTAGAATGCATGCCGCCGAAATTGAAGCATGCGCACGTGTTATTGAAAACAACCACGTTGAGACTTACTCCCAAGGCACATCGCCAACGAGCATGGAATCTCCCTCGTGATCCTCGTAAATCAGCACATACTCGGACCCTTCCAAAAAGTTGAGCTTCCTGCTAGATGCCAGCGAGTGACTGTCCCCACAGCTCGAGCTCCGACCACCACAACCGTGAACTACATTCCAACATCCACAGTGCGAGGTAAGCCAAAAATGTACTCCTCAGAACACATCACCGTAACTCACCAAGCGTCCCACGAACAGAAGACACTTATCCCGCCATGAAAGTAAAATCATACCAACATAGACTCAAGGATGTGTAGTGCATACCATTGATATAATGCTGGAACATGTCCTCCAGCGTATAATACAGCTTTTCGTAACTGTTGTTCGTCTTCAAATCCACTTTGCGACCGAATGGAACACCGTCCATATAGATCTTCACGAGATTTCCGCTTGAGGATGACGAAGCGCCCCTCCTTGGCATAGGCACAGATCGACAGGCTGTTGCGGGAGCCGAAGGAGGAGGGGCAGGGGTATTGTTCTTGTTGAAATTCTTCACGGGTGGCCAACCCACTGTCTGATTCTGCCTGCTTGTACAAACATTACCATCACTCAGAAATTCATACATGCAATAAAAACTACAATAAGCAGATCAAGGACTAGCAATCTAAAATAATATGAAGCCCCTGGCAGTGAACTCACGCAAGAGGTTGCTCGTTGGAGGCAGGTGCAATCGCCTTGTTGCGATTAATGACATCGCTGCTACATTTGATGGACGAATCACCAGCATCTTGGAGAGTTATCTTGCTCATGAGGGACTTGCGAAAGATAGTACTGAGAGGACCTTGCATTTTCTCTAGATTGATGTTGCGCCATGCCGATCCATTCTGACCGCCAGATCCAGGAGCCATCCGCGACATCCCCATGCTTTGGTGCAAATTCACCTTCGATTCCGGCTGCTCAGTTCCGCCCACGCCCTCGCCACGATTCATGTCGCAATTGCCTTCTCGAACCGCCCCACCCGCACCGGATGATGCATTGAAATTCGTCCCAACCGCTTCCGAGAAGCCTCTCTTGACCCCATTGTTCTTCGCCCCAGGAAAAACGCTCTGCGCACCAGGATACGAAGCACGCACATTATGCTGCATGGACTGCATAGCCTTTGCATCTTGAGCCGCCTTCTTGGCCCGGAACTCCTCAATGATTTTTCGTTGGTTCTTAGTAGACACGGCTTCTGCAACCGGCTTCTTCACATCCACCGTTGAATTTTGCTGCAGGTGATATGCTGGCCTCTTCGCAGGGTTCTCTGGACCCGCAGCTTCTTCCTCAGCAAGAACCACATCCGACTGACCGGTCGGCTTCAGCCCAGCAGGAGGTCCAAGTTGCAACGCAGTGGCACTCTCGTTAAGGTTCAGCTCTTCTCTGCTGCAACCCTTTTCCGGCTGCTTGTCACCGGAACTATTCGAGGAGGACACCTCCGAGAGACCAAAATAGTCGTGCTCTTTTAAGGTGGTCCCACTCTCGCTGCTCTCCTCATGTTGTGAAGATTCGGCGTGTGCATCCTTGCAAACGGTCTCAAAGTTCATGTTTGGTTTGTCGCTTGAGTACTTTAGCTGCGCTCCAGTCAGGACACTAGAACCTTCACCACTAAACTTCATTGTCTATGCTGTACGCTGCACACATGTTCCACCAAAACACGTGGCCATCTGGCTTCCAGCTTGTCCTGCAAAAGGTAACATAGAACCGATAGCAACATTAAAAACGGTCTGTAACCGCGATACTAACCAACAACTGAAAATAGCACGCTCCTACTTAAGTAAATAACATTCAAACCTCGCTAACACTATCACAAAATTTATAACAAAGTAAATTAAAAAATTAAACACTCTGAACTCCGTTAAGGCCCGTAAGGAAAGCGAACTAAGGCTCCAAGCAACCTGCTCAAGGAAGTAATAAACGAGCGGTAGTAATCCTCAAAACGCACTCGATCAGATTAATGCTCATCTTTCGAAGAGATGAGAATCAATAAGGTCGACCTCCAAACCATTCTGAACGGGCACTCATTATTAACAAAACAATAACTCCGACGACCTGGGTCCACTGAAGCTAGCTTCCTATCATTACAGAAACAAAGGCTTCCAAGGACACCAACACTTCTAGCATTCCCATACCGGCACTTTTTCATCAGGTAACCCGAACACATGGATACTTCTCTACAAGATTTCTTATCACATAAGTTTCTGCTACGCGAACTCGGACGCTAAGGTAAAGTGACATACTCCAAACGCTCGACCTCCCCGTGGCATGCCCAACCTCCCACCCATTTGCAGAAAAGTGTCTCAAACTTTCGAACCAATTTCCACTCCTTCAGTTCTAGCCGGCTGAGTACTGATGGACTCTGTTAGTCGTAACCATCCTCCTAACACACGTAGCACGAGTACATCGGTCCACTCACAATGGAGATTCCACGCACGTCTTCCTACCACTCGTTAACGAGTAATCAAACCCGAAGACACTCACTCTCTCCCTCGCAGAGTCACTGCACACTCGCAACCAAGCCACACACCTACGATTCTCGGCCACTTTCACGACTCGGTCAAAGCCAACGCAACGCAACGCCCCGGCCTCCAACGCCAACTCTGTCCACAGCTCCGCGTCAACCTGCCCCCTTTCGACTCAACCTTCTCCGACGCACCCGCACCCGCACCACACCTATCTGTACCTGACTGCACCACCCTCAACGTCCGGTGACTTAGCTGCTAAGAAACAAGCTTCCTCCCACTTGCAAGCCCTTCCTGACTACTACTACTACTACTACCCCTACTGCGCAGCATCCACGCCCACTGTCCAACGCTTCCACTCACCAAAGCCTCTTTCTCGAATCTCGCATTCCGCGAGACTCTACAGCAACCCTGCGGAACACCTAGAGAATAATTCCTCCACTCTCCGGAGCTCTGCGACGACGCCACAGGAGGACGCTCCCACTTGGAAACTCGGGAAACAAGGTTGGAGCTGCGGCTATGGCCGGTGCTTTGTAGTGGCAATGGCGGGGGTCCACAGACAGACAGAATGAAACCCTCTCTCTCTCTCCAGCTCTCGGTCTGCCTTCCACCTTCCTGCTGGTCCCTCTATCATCATAGGGGGTCTGCCTCGTCCCTCCCCTTGTTCATCCATATTTATTCATTCGTTTCTCCTGGATGAACATGTCCATACTCATCTCATTATTCATTCGTTTCTCCTGGATGAACATGTCCATACTCATCTCATTATTCATTCGTTCGTATGTCATCCGTTGGAGGTTGGGTCTGGCCCCACTTCCCAAACATGGACAGACCACTGACATATACGCTGTTGGTTCGACGAGCGTATTCGTACGATGGGGACGTGAATCGACGACCACGATTGACTTAGGGAGGCGGTTGTGATAAGTTCTGTATAGAGCACAATGACCACAAAGTGTGTGTGATGCGTTGGTCAAGTTGGAAAACGAGAAAAATGAGAAAAAAATTAAACTTTCAAAATAGAAATTAATAAATGATATGGAAAACAATGAACATATCAGTGAATTTATAATTTGAGTGGGGAAATAATTGATAAAATATTAAATATAAAACTTTTTTTTAATTATTGAATACGCATTTTTAGATTGATGAATGAACATACACAAATGCATGTATATATATATATATATATATGAATGTTAAATAGATCCTAGTTTATATAGGAATGTTAAATAGATCCTAGCCATCGTGAAAAAAAATGACCTCTAGATTCATTTCTCTACTAATGGTTTTTATTCAATATAATCACATTCTACATATCACCACAATGCAATTTTGTTTTGGTTGTTGGTTCTCTTTCGATGCAACAATGAGCATGTACCTTTAAAGTTCCATAGATGAGTAAATATCAACAAAAGCAACAGTATTGAAGTTGAACTTCATCATTTGCAGTCTGATTACACTATTCTTTTGTTGAACCTTAGTGGTTTAGGGACCAAAAAACGACACCACGTAGTTACTTTTTAAAACTTCACAACTTTGTAAAAGGGCATTCATGTATATGTGTGCATATAAATACAAAGAGTGTTTACAAAATAATTCAAAACTTTATACATATCCAAAATAGTAGTTTATCACGTTGTTGTTTGTAATCAAACACATAATTTGATCTTCTTTAAAACAACACCCACAAAAATATTTGACTATATATTAAAACAAGTGTATTGAAATATATAATCTAGTTAAGAAATTCAGAATCAAAAACATGATCCAAAAAGGTTTTATCGCATCACACAAGGCTCTCTTACCCTTCCATTGATAATAGCCACCAAAAAGATATAAGCAAATACAGTAATAAATATCCAATGGGGAACCTTATTTGAACTCGTATTACTATTGCTACATCATCATTTTTCAATTTCAGAAGAGATATTCACAAAATATAGATTTTTTAAAATTTAAATTTAGAATTGGAAGCAGATGGTTTCAACACAACACCTATAAAGCTTAGTATCTCTCTCTCTCTCTCTCTCTCTCTCTCTATCTATCCATCTATATATACAACATATAAGAACCCTTTCCTTTGATTTTAAAGTGATACAGAGAAGCCCAAAACTGTCAAGCAAACAATAAAAAAGCATTCTATCCAAGTGACCAGAATTTCAATCTGTTCCATTAAATGTATTCATTCAAACAACCTCCCACTATTTTATGTATATTAGAGTAGGGTATGTGTGTGGGAAATGGATGAAAAAGTGTAACTTAGACAAACATTCGTAGACGAATGGAAACCCATCCGAGGGGCGACAACAAAGGATAAGACTTGGATATGGGCTCTGGGACGAGGGAGGGAATAGCGGGCGAGGGGGAGGGGGAGGAGGCGCCCGCTCGCTGTCTGTTGGCTGGTCGGTCCTATTTCCGTGCGTCGTGTGGCGGAATGAGGCTGCAGGGGCAACACTTCGCTGCTGATGCTGCGGCGAATGATGCCGATTGTCTCCTTCTCCTCCGCCAGGCTCTGCGCAATTCTCACCCATTGGATTTCGAAAACACCATCATTCGGGCTTTTTTCTGCCATACCCAGTTCGTTTTTTTGGTCGCATCGTTGCTGACTTGGACTTCAATTCCTTCTCTCCCCGGAGTTTAGGGTTTTACTGGGTGCGCAAGGGCTTGGACTTAGCCGTAGCGGTGACGAGGACGATGATGGATGGAATCCTTTCGGAGGTTCGCTCTCGGCTGCCACGTCCCACTCGTCTCCGTGTTTTTAGAACCCTCTTTGAATTAGCTCGATGGTACCTGCGTTTTGGGTAACGATGCACCTGAGTTGAACCTGCAATTGTGTGTGTAAGAGAGAGAGAAAGGATGGGGACATGAGATATTAATAGGATTTGGGACAAGGGTCAGTGAGGGAGGAGTTTGAGAGAGAATCGTGAGCTCGGGAAGTGACGTTCCTCGGTTTAATGGGTGTAGTGAGTGGAACTGTTCGGCGAGCGGAGTTTCAGGGTTGGGGAAACTCCGAATTGTTGAGGATGCACACGAGATTCGCGTAGATCGGCATGGACGCGGGCTTTTTCCTGCGTGGATACAGCGTGGATCGGTTCTTGATTGTTCATCCGGAAGAATCTGAATAGCAGAAAGAATCTGCATTGGCGTATTGTAAATTATCTTGCAAAGGAACATTGGAAGAGTTAAGGAAAGGAATAGATGGTTCATGGTTATGGAATCTGATGCAGTTTGCAACTAAATAATAGTCGACATGATATTCTGTAAACGAGGAACCAGTCTTTGTGATCATGAGCTGTCTGTGTCTCTGAAATTTTCCTGTAGTGAGTTGGGTGTATGAATGGACATGTCGACCGACAAGAAGAACTTCGTGTGCGTGTCGCGCTTCTTCTAGCTGCAAACTGCCGAGTTTATTTTTACTCGACACCTTTCAAGGTGTTGGGTCACCTAATTTCTTATCTCCTTCCGTTCTGAGCTAATTATTCTTCTCTTGCGCTAGATGTGAGTAGTGACTGGATGTGATGCTTGCAAATGCATAGATTTGTAATGATTACGCTTCTCCATGACCCAGAAGCCATGGTTTATCGCTGAGTTCTAGCTTGTTTGAGATCTTGTAAACGGTTTGTAGATTAATTAGTCGTCGATAACGTGTCAGTCTTAATACACTACAGTCGTCTTTAATGACTGGATGAGCCCATTAGTTGCTCTTAAGCCACCTACATGGTATTGAACCAGTACCGAAGTAATTGACCAACCAACTTGAGTTAGTACTTCGACATATCCTAGTTTGTGTGCTTGTGTTGATTCATGTTTGCGTGATGTTATGGTATGTGTGCATGAATGATAATAAGCTTTTCTAGTCTAGTTTTTGTTTTCTGTGATTGCCTCATGGTTGATTCAATTTCCATAATGAAGCTTGAATTCGTCCAATAATGCCATGTGCACCAGTAAAGGTTTTATCCGCATCACAAGAGCAATAAAACTGATTGAAGGGCTGCCGAAATGGAGGACGCTGGGATTTATTTTTGGTGTTGCTGTTACCTACCGCGCCGATGCTTCTAAACCAGTTCACTAGGATGTTTGCTGATATTTGGTATGCACATGTTTGCCATATGATACTGGGGTTTCTACTCTTTCATGATCAAGGCAGCTGTTTTCGAAAGTTGACTTGAGAAACTGCCTTTTCAAGGCCGGCCGACATGTCAGAAAATAAAGAAACGTACCCAGAGACCTTTTATTATTGTATCTTGGAATGTTCTCTACGCAGTAAAGAGGGTGCACGATGATGGTCATGACTATCACATTCAGGCTTCGCGATCGTTAATCAGAGTTTGAGAGCTTTATACGTGAGTTTGCGGCCACCGCCAGCATCTAGCTAACTTTGCGTGCATTCGAGAATGTGCCTTTTTGTGAAGATTGACGAACACTCTAAATGAAGAGTTTTATTGTGAAAACAACAGTTGGTGGATTGAATGGACTTCAATTGGTGTGGTTCCGTATGCGGAAGGGTTCATGTTCGGTACTTGCATTACCTCGTTTCGTTTCTCTTTGAAGGTAAATGGTCTTTGAAATAATGCAAGGTTTTGTCTAAGATTTTTTTGTGTAAAATGTATTCTTAAGTGAATTAGCCGAGCTGCCATGCAACTTATGTCGACTAAGAGAGAAGTCAGTGTCCTTTAAGAGAAAATTTGGATCAAAGGCGGAGGCAAACATGTGCTTAATGTATCTATTTTAACTTTTTTATGGAACTTTTTCGTAACAGTAAAAATCTTTTTAGTGAAGATTATCTGAAAGATATGTAGCCTCAGAGTTAATGTGAATATAAGCGTGAGATTACATGTGATTGATTGATCTGTGAATTATAATTTCAACGATCTCACGGGATCTTAAATCACCTCACCCGGGTGTATGGGTGAGGGAGATTTCTGCACTGTAAGTTGCGGGGATTCCACAATGACTTCGCTGTGATTTTGTACCAAAGGCTTCAAGATAACACTTGACCTTAGGAAGGTTCAATCAGGTTCAGAACACCAGTCCACTTTCCAACCAAATCATGACTCGATTATCAATGCCGCTGTCTTTGCCGAGTCAGATTATTGTCAGTCAATCATAAAGATTGCTTTTATCCCCATTTCTGTTCATCAGCACGCAACAAATGTATGTGACACACAATATGTTTGTCGTTCCCAATGAGTTAAAACAAACACACAACAAAAACCTATGACTTCCCATGTGAGGCAACCATGTGTTGAGAATGGGCACCTCGTCACAGCAACAAGTGAAAATATATTTTCAACTGCTTCAAATCCTTTTTTCTTGGATTTTGGAATTGCTGCAGCAGCGTAGGTGATAAGAAACACCCAGCTCTGACCTCTGCACTTCATTACTAATCCTGTAAGGTTCAAGAGCATATTTGTAAGTGTCGAAAATGTCCAATGACAGGCAGGTGGCTCTCGTTGGAGCTATAAATTGTAACATGGTAGAAACTTCCAAATAAAAACGCCACAAACCTCCTCAACATACGTGGGCGTGGTTAAGTGGATTAAAGCCTCATTCTAGAAACAATCTCAATGTCTGTTTCCATACTCAAAACCCAAAAGATGTCAAAAGATGGCTAGAGCCCCGTATAGAGAAAGTCCGCACATATTAACATGTTAAGGAAAATGCACATTCTCTGCTGCAGCTGTAGAAAAACATTTGTGGACAACCTCTTGCGAGGAGGAACAAGGGATGATTATACACTACAGTTACACAACTGCACTCTGATTTTCCTGATTTACAAGTGCTTTCCTCACAAATTACCCCTTACAATCTCAGCAGCCTAGGGTTTTCAGTACTCTACGAGCCCAACTCCCGAGCCGAGCAAGTATATCCGACCACAAGATTCATGTGATCCATGTGAGGCTTGAATACTACTGTTGCAACTATGACCCTTCACAGACTGTTGATGAGTTTCTTCCTTGAATAGATGCCTACAAACCACAAACTCTCTAGATTACATGTTGGGTGGGATGATCGCATTAAAGGTTGGTCTCTGCAAGCTCAGTCGAGTGGCGATGAGATCGAACAATCACTTCAATGGTTCTGTAAGTGGACCCGGTGGCTTTACGATGCCACCCTTGTAGAATATGTCGCAACATACAAAGATGTAGCCCTCCTCATAGCGGATATCGACATTTTCCAGATCGATAGCCGGTAGAAAAGGTAAGGGGAAGCCATGGTCGAACTTTTTGTTCAAAATAGGAAGAATCACCCTTGAGATGACTGTTCGCAGTGTTGGCTGCACACACACATAGCATCAAGGGTTACACATTACACAACAAGCAAACTGGGGAGGTTTTACACTTCTATTCGTCTGTCTATTTTTTATGCGTCAAAGGATTTTGTTCTTCCACTTCGATAGTCTGTTCAACCATTCACACTTCCACTGAGAACTATCACTCCCAGCAAGAGGCCCTTTGCATGTGCAGGAAATAGAGCAGCACCAAGGGCCGGGTCAGGTCCCCCGAAATTTCACATGATTCCATAAAATTTCACTAATTTTTCTACTGACCTACATGGAAATAACTCCCAATTCTGAAAAATGCAAAAAATTAAATTTGCATACAACTGTATAGCAACGCACAAGGGCTTGGAACTCTTCTCTAAGTAAATCCCATACTAATGGAACTGAAATGAACATTTAAAATGAACTCAGACATGGCTCAGAACAGGTAGAAACCAGACTCACCTGAAGAAGGGCGACAGGAAAGTTGCCAATGTCACTCCATTTCAGTTCGAGGCCGAGGTCGTTTAGAGCCAATTCAGCCGCGATTTTATTATCCACAACATTCACCATTGCATCCATGGATACGGTCTGTCCAAGCACAAACAACGCCACAGTCAGAAAATTAGATGGCCTGTTGTCCACTACAATGATTTTACATCTACCGGTAAGGTAACACACGAACGCGGTTTAACTCGTGAGAAGAGAGCTTACCAAAGAGATGCAGACCACAGGCAGAGGCTCTTCGTCAGTCTTCACTAACAAGGTCAGTTCAACTGCAGCATTCCCCGTTACACCATCACTCTGAAGCTTGACAGTTGGTGGTGCGGAACAGGAAAAATCCAATGCCATGTCCATGTTTGGATACTTCTTGTACAATTGGGGTATGATCCATCTCCAGAAGTGGGTGTTTAACCATGCCTCTTTTAGCGCCTCGTCTCCTACCCACTCCAAAAACCCAGCCTGCAAACAAGACTGTTCCAATAAGTTACAGCCATCCAATGGACATACCATGGCACTGTTTCCATCTGCCGTCAATCCTAAAATTCATAGAACTCGTTTGGTGAAGGCAGCTTAGAGTCATATTCTCTGATATAACTTCATGAACTCTAGACAGTTTTCAGGTATTCAATTATGAAGATTCAAAAGCTGTTCTACCAATACAAGAATCAATATAACCTAGCAAGTATAAAATAATTAGGTGAAAAGGAAATTCTGACAACTTTCGAGTCATCAGAAAACGTTGGAATCAAAGTAAGCAGAACTCCAGCAGCACATGTTCCTGCTCTGAGAAAAGTACTCAGAGGTCAACCTGTAACGTGAGCATTCTACCCAGTAGATTTTGTATTCAACAGGTTTGAAGGGCATGAACCTCATAGTATACAGCGATTGCTGAGTTAATGACGTCCTCACGTAGGGCAACTGTGACCATTTTTGTGGAGTCACTGTGCAGCAGTTCTGACTGCAACTCGTAATCCAGGCATGTGGAGTTTGAGGGTTTCACGAGGGAGACAAACTCCCCCTTCATGCACACGCTAAGGAACGTGGGGCCTATTACCGGATCCTGCATTATGGTCACATCAACAGCGGAGACATCGTCTATAGGTAAATGGCGAGGAAGTGCTTGAAGAGTGTTATCCAGCTTCTCTGCGATCGCAACAATCCTCTTTGATATTGTAGTTCCAATAGCTGCACGAATCTCCGCATCAAACACATTCACAAACCTGTTGAAAATAGTGGAAAGCTATTATCCACACACAGTCCAGCGCAAACCTTACAAGAGGCATTGCTTATATGCAATTTAAGAGCAAATGCAACAGTATCGTGTCTCCAAAGAATCGATAAGTTTCGTGACCCACAAGGAGGAATGGTGTAACAAGCACTTACGGCTGATAAAACCATGATGCACCCCCTTGTAATTTAATATGGAGGTCATCGATGTGAGTTTCACACCCAACTACTGTCATCCGCAGCGTTCCGTTGCGTGCTGCAAGAACAGATGTCATGTTCACTTGCATGCCATTTACCTGCACAAAAAAAACAATTATTCGCCAAGGTTGAGCAATAACGGACAAGGTAACGTTGAATCATACAACAAATTCTGTCAATTTTATTCTGTTTCACCATGGAATTCACCCTTCTGGATCGCTTCGAAGCTAAATTGTCAGTTTCTTACCTCCACATCCGCCCATCCACCGTCGTTGACAGGAAATGGGACATAAGTGGCCGTGTACTTATACTTCCAATGAAGACGAACCCCGGCATGAATATGTCCAACAAACACGGTGATGCCTTTCTTCCCCAGAACTACGTCCGAACGTGAGACATTTGCCCAGGAAAGTTCATTGTGGGAGACTTCAACATCAAGGCGGCCGATGGGAGAGTTAATGCGCGTCTTCATGTCTGGTAATACCAATGGGGTTACCTCTTCCAGTATTTGCTCGAGGAGAACGTCCTTCACGTAGGATAATCCGGATTCAGATAGGTTGACCATAACCCCCGCACTGTTTCCATCTCCACTAACTAGTACATCTGGAGTTCTCTGTAATTCAAGGGCAGTGTTTCCTTTGTCTTCATTCTCCGCAAGAATCTTGAAATAGGAGTCCCCAACATCGTATTCAGCCTCGTTCGAGAAGGCTTCGAATTTGGATGCAGCGGCATGACGCAGCAAGAGGACGATGGAGACAGAAAGGAGAGTTAGCCTGAGCATGGCAAGTCCCATGCTCCAAGACAGTTGAATGCCGAACTTCAAAACTAATCCCACTCAAGACACATATCACACGGAAATTCTCTTCATTGGAAACGAGGAGATTGATCACAGAAACCTAATTGGTCAAAGAATAGCGATTCTTCGACTCGCAATTCTGTAGATGTGTAAGCCTTACTCTTCGAGAGCTGAATCTTAAACTCCGTGAGCACTTCTGCAAGGTTCAGAAAGCTTCGCTAAATTCACTCAATTGTACTTGCTTGAAAGTGAATCAATCGCAGCAATCACCAGTTCGAGAGAATTCGCACGCACCGCCAATGCTGTCTCATGCAGATGAATCTGGAGTCCTTACACTGAGCTTGAATAAGAGATTCGAGGCGTCTGCTCTAATTACCCACACCAGCTACAAAACATACTGATCGAACTGCCCAAACTGGAGGGTGAAGACTGGAACCAATTCTTTTAAAGGGATAGATTGCAACTGAAGCTAGAATTGGAGAAGTTTGGCAGCTCAAACCCGAGGACGTGATAATACCAAATTGATGGACACGCAATTCAGGAAAGTCGACGCAGCAAAGAACAGGCTGGTCGGTTCACTCCAACCAGCGACGACGTATTGCGATTGAAGAGCTCGTATGACCACGAGCCGTAATCTCAAATATTGAATTCAGACAGAGTAGAGTAACCATGGGAGGGGCAAACGATGGAGTTACTAGAAAGCAAAGTAGCAATCACCTACAGCAAGGCAACCTCCAAGCGAATTAACGGCAAACCGCCACGGACGCAATAGCCTGCACGTAACCTCATTATCCTCAAGGCCACATGCTTTCTTGCAACACTCAAACCTCTTTGCTGCTGCTCCGAAGTACCTCTATGCATTTTTATTATAATCATCAAAGCATACTGACAAGACTGCAAATCCTGGTCTCTGCTTTAAACAGAGTACTAGCACGCCGAAGAATTCCGGATCTGCGCAAAGTGCCCAAATTTTTATTTGGATGAAGATCCAATATAGAGTTTCATCCTCCGTGAATACGAGTCTGATCGTTTGTGTCCAGAGGAACGTAAAGCTCGTGTGAGAGTTTTCAGGCTGGGCCACCACCAAGAAATAGCCAGCTAGCACATCCATCAATGGATTAGAATACTTTCTATCTCTTTACAGATGCCCCAGTAGAGGATTAGAGTAGGAAAGGTTACCAGCTTTGCTCACACGATGGATTCACTTCCAGCTGCAGCATCTCCAACTACAGTACCAGAACTCCTGGAACAGAGAAGGCTATTTCGGACACAAGTCATTACGAAGTTTTATTGTCGAGAATCAGTTTCTATGGGTACATTAATGAATCGCTTTTAGTTCTAAAAAATGCAGTTGTAAGACCACACTTCATTAGCCATCGCACACTGCTAAAACTACAACTTATAATTTTCTACACTACGTAATAAATTTGGATTCATTTCTGAAGAGATGATCAACCCTGGTTCGGTATCGGCAGGTTTGTTGTGCTTGATCCTTCAACACCTGCCCCAAGGGCAACACTTTGTGATGCAAAGTCCACTTGAGGAATATGTGATAACTTTCTTTGGACTAGAGATGAATTTGGTGTTCGGTTCTAAACGTCATGTGGGGGTTCAGATTCCAACCTCGACATGTTCGGCACGAAACCATCCTGCAGCAGCGAGAGGAATCTTTCTGAATTCTATAAGCCCCTAGGTGCAGATCGTGGTTGAAATTTGAACCTTGTACTCCAAAATCACAGGCGGAAACAAAAATTGCAGACAGATTCCCCTATCCTTACAAGAGTCGTCTGCTGTTCTTGTCGATGCAGGTCACAGTAACGTAACCAAACACCGAGTCCACCCCCATAATAACAAAACACAATCTCATGTTGTATGGTGCGCCAGAAGAACTATTGAATAATGAAGAGAGTTGAGCACAACCAGGATCTTTCACCCTCCTGTAGGTCGGGATGGCGTGAACGAACAGGACGCTGCTAGTTCGTCGACTGTTCAGTTGGACGAACAATTTGCGCATTCCATGCGCTAATTAGCGTACACCTGAAGAGGCTAGAGCACTTTGTTTTGTCCAGTTTCATGTAGCGCACGCTATGGTTTGATGGCGAGATTTGTCTAAACATTTTCACGTCAGTGCTGATTTGTCAAGGTCAAATATACTCCGGCTCGCTGAAGGTCGTGGTCGGAGACCTTACATTGTCCACTTGTCACTAAGTAATTCGTTCTTCTCATGACACCCTCAGGCGCGATTCCGTATGCAGATAGACCATCGGGAGGAGAGCTTCGGAGGGCATGGAAGTGATCTTGTTCAAGTACAGCTTGCATGTGCATTTGATGGTGGCTTACTGGGCTTTCGTCGTATGAAGGGTCCATTCCAAAGTAGCTCCCTGCTCGCCGCAGCTGCTCCACATGGTCGACATTCAACAGGCTGATCACTGACGACGCATCATCCGCTCCGTATCTACAAAAAATATGTTATAACGATGGTTGGTTAGGACTAAGGTGAATATTTGAACATAAGCTTCAAATCATGACGGGGCCATCGTGTAAGTAAGAAAGAGATTACAGGTTTCGCGCTGCGATCGACTGTTACCTGTAATTTAAGGGGAGAATGTTCGATTTCTGGTTGAATTTGGTGTCAAACTTGTGATCGTCGTGAAAGCTGATTTGGTGTCGTAAGAACTGCGACTCCTCATCCTCGGAAACGGAACTACGCGATAATCCGGGGTGTCCATGAAAGCTCTGGAGTTGTTGGCCAGCTGAAGCGACCGCCTGCTGCTGCTCTACCAAGAAGAGTTGCTCACCGGCCATGTTGAGCTCTTCCTTCAATTTAGACACCTGATTTTGAAGCACAGTGATGACGCCCAAACACCCATGCACAGGGTCCTTTTCTCGAGTGTCGGCCTCATAAGCGATGGACTTCACTGTATCCTCACGTTTAGAAGGATCAACAAATTTAAGGATGCGCAGGATATTGCTGACACCGAAGAGTTTGTGAACGTTAGCGAAGCGCTTAGGTTGATCCGGGGGGAAGTAAGGCGAGAGAGGACAATCCGCAGAACATTTTCTCCTCTGAAACTTGCAAGCCGCGCACGCCGTGTTGGTGTTCCCAGTTGATCCTGTCATTGCTGAAGGAAGCTATGGCCCGTCACGGTCAAAATCAAGATGATAACACCTACGTAATATTAATTTTTTTTGTAAGAAGCAGAATCATGAATCCAGCCCCTTTTATCACTCACTACTGACTTGTTGGGGCGATACAAGTCTGGATAAAGAATCTATCCATCAAGACCTCAACTCTGCTGAGGTGCTAAATTACCATTCCGAACTGGATCCCGCATACCAGATTTTCCGGTACTATACCGAGCTCGAGGGCATACACTTTCCGAATATAGTGTAGTCCACCCTGACTAGAATGATAACCTCGCAAAATACATACACTGTCTCCAGAAGTAATTTGGATTTCAATACCAGTTCGGACAGTGAGAACTTTGCCAGCATAAATTCTGTCGAAATTACCTGTAAGAGCGTCGCAGATGAAATTGAGAAACTTGGATACGAGTACAAAGGGAATTAACAACAGAGCATATAGAAGTATAACACATGTTCGGTCTAAGCGCAACATAGGCATCAGATGGTGAAACAATTGCGCTCAAGTTACAAGGGGGGGGGGGGGGGGGAAGAAACTCTGGGACAAATTTCGAGCAAGAGAATCTCCGTGACATAAAAGCGACGCCAAGAAGACAAGCATTGTTCGCTGCAGATTTCGGATTCTGTAAGATATCGCTTCGACTACAAAGTCCAGGTGCAGCGCAGAAACGAAAACATGTCTAGCTATTGCAGAACATCGTGCGGCGGTGAGGTTACGAATAAGATGTGCACCTACGTGAAAAGTGAATCTTGTGAACAATTTTGGTTTCTAATGTACACCAGAAAGCTAACACTTGCACCACAATTAAGATACAAAAGGAAGCAGAAGTGAAGAAACACTAAAATTGAGATGAAGCTCCAAAGAGAGACGTGAATAAAGGAATGAGGCATTTAGATGAGAACGCAGATTACGATTGGCTCGTCCTCCGCGGCGCATGTCACTTTTGGATTGTCTAGAGTTGCCTCGAGCGAAGCGATCAAATTCAACGCATCTTTCTACACGATCCTGACGCGACATGTGAAGCGTCACCGACCTCCAGATCCTTAATGCTAACGCTAAATTTCAGGAGGAGCAAGCTGAAGACCGTTATCTTCTTATTACTTTTCTCCTGAGATTCAGTACTTTAAACCTCTATGAAATGCGTGCAGAGATGGCTGGTTCAATATATCACCGTTGAATCCTATCCGTCAGGTACCAAGAGCGTAAACTAATAATGTGAAGCTAACTCAATGAGAGGTCGTGAGATACTCACACAAATTCGAGTACACGGTCCAAGGTCAACGTCCCTGTCCTCAAACCGCCAGTTCCGTGGGCTACAGTTTGAAGCTGCCCCTAACAATTCTCTCCAAATGCCAATGTCGGAATTGCAACATTGGAGAGAACAACCAATACTAAGGCTGCTGCAAAATAAGTCCCTTCGACGAGCATCCAAAAGAGAAGATCGTTAGTGTCAATTTCGCACCTTCCGTAAATCCAAGTGGACTCTAGTAAAAAAATCCACTAAACAATGGAACTACAAATCTGGATCTACTCTCCGTTTTTCTTTTCTTCTTCTTGTTTCCCCCCTTATTTCTATTTTTAATTTACTTTTATCTTTTTTTGTCCCTCACGACGTTGACACTTCTCACTACCTAGCTGCTCTCCGACAGCAACACAGCAACCTCACCTGGACTTGCTGCCCGCGAATCCTCACACTACAGGTCTACGCTGCCAACGTGAAAGAAGAAGATCCTATGACTACTCCTCCCAAGCTCAACTAACACTAAAAGTATTTATACAGACCAGAGCATCAATGGATTTCGTTATCCGCTGAAGCGAGTCTCACGCTCTACGGACGCAGGCACTCCGCAGACATCGACCGACGCAGAGTGCTGCAACAACAGGGGGAGCTAAACCCTGGCACAGCAAGCGAAGTCAAGATCGCGACTCAGCGAAGGAAGCGCTGGGAGCAGCGATGAATAGCGCGGGGTAAATGGGAATAGCGAGGCTTTGAACAGCGGGGAAAGGAAAAAAGCGGGGGGAAGAGTTGTAGTAGGCGGGGTGGACGACAATTGCTGACCTGGATGGGTGGCTGCCAGCGTGGCGCCAGAAGGTCACCGCGTTGCTTCTCCGCTCCCTCCATTTCTATGCTCGAGGTCTCTAGGTCAACTGAATGAATGAAATATGTCTATGTAAACAACCCCCTGATGGATGAATGAGGTTTAGTAGGTCTATATGGGGGATATTAAGGATTTGTTGATTCCAGGTCCACTCCTTTAGGTGAATGAAGTTGGGCGATTTGTGGTTAGAAGTTAATATGTGTGTATATATATATATATATATATACATAAGCAAAAATACAAGTACATTAGTTGTTTGAGGTAATGGTGATATTAGTGTGTGTGTGTGTATAGGTGAAATGAGAACCACAAATTTGTTGGATAATACATTGCTATCATTTTTATAACCAAATATGATATTGTATAATGTAAAGATGTATTAGAATGACAGATATACTTTTTTTTTTTGTGTTTTGAGTAAAATAATCAAATTTTTTTACATACTAGTGGAATCAAATCTTGCATTCTCAACGTTTCTAATTTTAAATATGTGTTTTTATAAATAATATGTTACATTTAATTATATTGTAGGAATGTGCATGTATGTATAATACTTACATTATAATAAGTAAAAGTAGATTTTAGTTTGATGGTTGCATATATGTAATTTTTTATTTAATTATATATATTAAGTAATTTGATCTATTGAAAAAATAAGATTACATAAGAGATATTATTTTTATTTTCAAAAAATAAAAAAAAACGGATAATATTTTTTTAAAAGATATAATAATAAATTATTGTATTAAATTTTATTAAAATAATAGTTATTTCTTTTAAGAGAAATTAAAAATAAATATGACTAATAACTTAATTATCAGAAGCAATCATTGTTGCATTTTGCACCATCTAAAAGCAACTTCTCTATTAGCTCCATCCTCTCCTTACACTTCTCAAAATTCTATAATGCTATAAGTGTCTTGGATCTTGGATCTTGGCAAGCCTTATATGCAATACTTATTGAGTGAGGCTTGTAAGAAGTGAATAGCTTGTGGAAAATCCACTTAGTTCTTGTTTGTTCCATTAATCTATTCATTAATTCATCTCAATGCTCTAAATACAACTATATCTTCCTACCATTATTTCTTTAATTTTTTAAATTAATTTATATTTATTATTATACATAAATTAATTGGATTTTATTTTATTTTATTTTTATTTTTTATAATGATCATAAAATAATATATTGTTGTGTAGAAAATTATGTATATATTAGTTTGTACAAATTTATTTATGTCAAATACAATTATAAATTTATATACATCTAGTTAATTTTTCACATTCACCATTGTAGATTGTTATTTGTTTTTTATTTTTATTTTTTTAAGTTTTAATTTAAAAAATATTTAATCATAATTTTTAAATATATTTTTCTTATTAATAAAAATTTATACTATGTCTTATAAGAGTAAATCTATTTTCAATCTTGTCAATATATTTCTTGTATTCTAGTCTTGGTTCAAGACTTTCTAAATTCTTTTTCTCATACAAAGTTATAATAGTTGTTTTTTTTATTTAAATTCTATGACTTTTTTTCTTATTTTTCCTCTTCTTTAATAATACATGAGTGTCTTTAGAAGTTTGTCTAAATCCATATTCTTAATAATTGATACTAATTAGTTTTAAATTGTTATCACCTTATTTTTTTTATTTATAATTAGTTATACAAAAAATACTTATAATGTACATATGTAATATTATATAAGCTGAATTTTAATAAGAGATTTTTATATTTAGAGCAAGTTGTGATGCTAATAAATAATTATATTAGCTTTTATGTGAACAAGCAATTTTACCATATAAAATAAGTTTTGAAATTTGTTTGTTTTATTAAATTAATTTTAATGCAAATGAGGATTTGAAATTCTAAATTACCCCAAAAGTTAAATTTGATAGTAGAAGATTGATTACCTCTATTAAAGATTAGATAAATAATATGAATGTTATAATTTTTAAAGTGTTAGTATCTTGTTGCTAATCTTTTTTAGGCATATCTAATATTGTAAATAACATAATTTATCTAATTTTTAAAATAATAAGACAAAATATTAGGAAGAAAAATCAAATTTTAATTTGGAATAAAATAACAAAAAATCAAAAACAAAAAAAAAAATCAACATCAAATAAATGAATTCCAACATATAAACAAAATTTATTTGATAAAAAACTTCTTATGTAGTTTTAATTCTAATTACTTTACAACAATTGGTGAAGTTGTGAAAGGTTTTAGATGGCTCAAAGTAGGGGCTTTAAAAAATATTGCAAATAATTCAAGTCTACTGATATCTTGTTTATATGACTATTTTTAATTTTTAATGATTTGTGAGCATACTTACCTATTGTATTGTCACTTTCTAATATAGCTGCAAATGCATTTATAAAACAACCCCATAACAAATATTTTTCTTAAAATCTCTTTATCGTGTGTACAGATCTTGATTATTGTTAAGAAATATCTCTACAATTTGGCTTTTAATTTCTTTAGTATCATTAAGTATAAATACTTGTTGTTATATCTATAAAGACCATCAAATATCTCTCTCTCTCTCTCTCTCTCTCTCTCTCTCTATATATATATATATATATATATATATAATATTTGATGGTCTTTATGGATGTAATATATGGTAACCTCCATAAAGACCACCAAGTTCTTGTAAATTTCCATCTATTCATTTCTTTATCTTTATGCACTAAAGACAACTACCTCTCTTTATTTCCAATTTTTTTATTTCCTTCTACTTCTAAGATTATATTCAATGTCTTTAGTTTCTTTTATTAGTTCCTCAGTAATGAATTTATATTTCTATGTTGTTATGAAGATAATTGCATAATTTCTACTTTCTACATAGCTAATTGTATCAAAGTTACTTCCAAATTTAGGCCTCATTTAGTAGATTCTTTTGTTTACTATTATAAAATTGATGTTAGGATTCTTTTAATCTACTATACTTGAATGTTCAAGATAGTCCCAAGTTTTAATCCATAAATTTTAAAAACCATCAACAAAACTCATGAGATTGTATATTAGTTTAATTATAATAAATCTATAACCTAATTTTTAGTATAGTTAATTTACATAAACTTTCATAAATGTATTTAATTACAATTAATAATTGACATGTATATACACTAAAATAAACATGTTCAATAAAAAATAAACATGATATCCAAAACCAAATAGATTATTAAAAATGTACATTGTATTACAAATGAATTTTATTAATGAAAAAAAAAAAAAAAAACCTAAAGATATTACTTATTGATAACAACAAGGCATTGGCCATGGTTTTAAGATGCATCAATTTGTTCTCTTTGGATGTGAATGAAAAAATATATCCCTTTATTTATTTTTTTTGACACAAATCAAATTTTGTTCAATTGCAGAGAAAAGAGTAAAATACAGGTCGCTCGTATCAATTATGATAGAGGGCAGGGAAAGCATGGACCTACCTTATGACTAGCGGCTACCAACTGCCTAGACCTTGCTGGACTACTTAGTATCTAGGTTACTCAGTTACGCCTTGAGCATAATACCTCGTAATTCTTCCATTTTCGATCAAAATCGGCCGATGCTAATCGTGTTTCTTCTGGTGTTTTGTAGCCTTGTTGCTGGATTTCGTCCCATGCGATCCTCCCATAGTCCCATGATGCCTACCAGATTCTGTGTTTCATTTTCTCCTGACTCCATGTGACTTGGTTGAAGACCTTATTGTCCCAGGCGAGCCATAAGTTCGATATTGTAATTCTCCAGAGGTTTACTGCGACTGCTTCGTGCCATAGTTGCCACAAAAATCTCGCTTCTTTTTTAGGATCCCACACATTATTCCATTTGAATTTGAAATTTAGTGGGAGGAGAAGTTGCAACTTGTCCCGGGTCATCATGAGTGGGGGGTGGCGCTTACATAGCATCGCTCTACCCGATATAAAATATACTGCGTAAAATCCGATTGGTGGTACACTGCATACAATCATTTTGATCCAACGACTTATTACTACCCAGGTCCCACAAGAGTTCGCTGATCGAACCATAGAATAGGAGGATTGGGCGTTTCCGAGGGTCTCATACGATTCGTTGTACATGGACGCACCATATCGTACCTCAAAGTGTCCTAGTCGGGGGAATCGTTGCTAGCAATGTTTGTGAGGAAGGAAGTACTTTGAAAACTTTTTGTCGACATGGAAATTTTACATTTTACAATCTTGAATAATGAAAAAATTCCTTGACCTCTTCCCATCTACATACCACCGTTGGTAGCTCGGTGTCCAGATTAGCGTTGATGCCATACCCTTCCCGCGAAAGTGGACGAGTGGAGTTCTAGATGAGTAGGCGGCCACCTCTGATGCCCATATGGTCCATGATGCGAGTCTAGTTGGGCAGTTACTCCAGCTGGAGATGAAAGCGTGTCGTTGCCTCCTCTATGCGTGCCGGACGGATTGGATGCTAGCAGCAAACAGTGTCGCGGCTCGATCTCTAGAAAACGTCGGGCCAATGGTCGGGGCGCCTGGGTGCCACCAAAATGGTCGGCTCATAGAAAATTATGTATCTTGCTGATTACCCGCCAATTGCCCATCTTGGTATCCCCCCAGATGGAAAGAAAATACAACGTTGCTGAGATCGAAATCTCGTTGACTACCATGGCTCTGCCAGTGGAGTTAATTTTGGTAGACACCCAGTATTGGAGTTTATTTTTGATACGGTCCACGAAGAACTGGTCGACTTGGGCCGTTTGGAGGGAAAGCCAAAGGGGTTTCCCAACAGCTTGGAAACCACTTCTTCCTGAGCTCATTTCAATTCCATTGAGTCAAGCCAGACACGGCGAGGTCTGGAGCCCAGGCTCCACCAGTAAGCAACAGATTTTGCCCAATTTATTAGAAG